CCAGTGTTTAAAGTGGCGAGTAATTTGTTTCAACTGATTATTCCTGACGCCAATATTCGTCAGCGTATTATTACTGGTTGTCCATGGCTCTTTGATGGACATTTGGTAGTTATTAAAGAGTTCTGATACACCATTTCAAGTCTCTCCCTTTTGGATCCAACTCTTAGTTTTGCACACAAACCTTCTGTCTGAGAAAGTCAGGCAAAAAATTGCCAATTCCTTCAGCCAGTGTCTAAAAGTGGAGTTGTGAGATAAGGGTTTGGGTGACAAAAAGGAAACGGTGGTCACCGATAGTCGGGTGTTTCGTCTTCGAGTGGAGCTGGATATCATGAAGCCTTTTTGGAGACATATTCTTTTAAAAAGTCCGACGGGAGTAGAGTCTTGGGTTCAGGTTCGGTATGAGAAGTTGTCTTCGATCTTTCTGCTATGCTTGTGGTATTACAGGCAATGATTGGAAATCCTACTCGACTGGGGCTTCTTTGGCACTTAGGGATCTAAAGGTGTATGGGAGTTAGTTGGGGGTGGAAGGCTTTCCAAGGAAAGACCTTTGGAACACGGATCGAGATGTGGGGGATTTTTTGGGGGATGGGAATGGCAAAAATTGGTTGTATGTGGAAGAAGGTGATATGGATGGTGAATATGGACCTGGGAGGACTAAATCTTCTCCTGGTGTACGCCGATACCTGACTGGGCATCTGATTCATGTGTTATGTTGGTTTACATGCTCTTGGTCGGGGGTTTAATCTGGGGGATAAATCGAATAATGTTGTGGTTGCTTTATCTAGTGTGGATGGGCAGTCGAGATTGATTAGGGGTGATGGTAATGGTGAGTATTTCGTTGGAGAGGGGGCTATTAAGCTTGGGGCTGATTTGCGAGATTAAGGAACAGGAAAGGGGGGATGTTTGCCAGTTTGGCTTGCCTGTTCCTCCATTGGATGGATGCATCATCCCAGGTTCTTCCTCGTAGAGTCACGTGGCGTCGATGCAGAATGAGGAGCTTTTGGCCTCTGATCTTATTACTTCTCCCATTAAAGGCCGGATTCTTCCATTGCAACGTTGGGATTAAATGTCCAAGGCTTAGAAGAAAGGTAAATGTTGTATGAAACCATTGTTTGGTTCGACTTCCAACTCTTCTGCCACTTCTCAGAGCTAAGGCTTTCCCCCCGTTAGGCAAGGCCGGAAGCGCAAGCAGTCCCCTTCGGGTAGATCTTAGGGTAGCCGTATGAGGGGGGAGAAGAAGCGTTAACCTGTGGTTGCCAGTGATTTGCCTCAGCCAGTTGACATGGGCTCTTTAGGAGTTGAGGTCGGTCTGCTTTCTGAATCTTCTGGAAAGTATGGTGCTTATCTTAGGGATTCATATCATTCAGAGTCCTCTCAGTCCTTTTCCACTCAGTTAGCTCTGCTTGTGGGTGTTAACACTCCCATTATCACTAACACCTTTTAAATGTAGGTTGTTGTCAAGGTTGTTATCTTGACATTAGTGGGTATTAGTTTTGTTTTGGATGGTTTTCTGTCTTTTGGCGCTGAATGTGTTTTCTTGTTTTGACAATGGTCTCATATTCTTACCCGTGTAGATGCCGTATGGCTGTTCTTTTGCCACGTTAAAAAAATAATAATAAATTTGTAAGTACACAGATACATTAGTAATGTCAAAAATTAAGTCAATATCTATTTTGTCTTGATTTTTTTAAAAATTACATGTACTAATGACTTTTTAATAACTTATACTCCGTAGGATAAAGTGCAAACCTAATCTATTGACCAATTTCACAAAACCTCCATATTAACAGGACTAGGATCTTCAAAGTTATACTGTCATCTAACTCAAATGATTTAAGAGTTCTCTCTCTTATTTGAAAATTTTAATCCTAGTTCTCTCTCTCATGAGAGTTCTCAGTTTGGCTGAGTTCTCTATGCGATCAGAGTTTTGCTTTTTCCCTTTCTGGTTTCTGCAGTCCTTTGTTCTTACTATGGTTTGGGCGTGATGCTCGTTCAAGGCTTTTCGCGGTTCCGTTTTCGCTTTCGTCATGAGGTTTTCTTTCTGTGGTCGTGGTGGTCCGACCAACTTTCCGGTGGATGGTCAGCTTCGCTGGTCTTTTAGGGCCTCCGGGTTTCTTGTTTGTGTGTTTTGATCGATGACTGGTGTCTTGGCTGATCTCCTCTGTCTTTCCCTTTTGATCCCGATATTTGGTTATTTTTTCTGGCTTCTCTATTCGTTTTACTTTTGTTGGCCACTTGCTTGTTAGTGTCGTATTTTTGTCAGTGGCCAAGGGTTCTGGGGTAGGGGTGGCTACTACTACTGATTCTCTGTCGGCGGGTTCACTTTTTGGTAAGGATTTTTTTTCAGTTCTTGTGGTACGATGTTCTCTTGGTCCTGCGTGCCGGCGTTTCTTTTAAGTTTCAGGTTGTTGCGCGTTGGACGTGTTCATGAAGCCGGTTGGCTATTGCTGCTTTTTTATCTTGTTTTGCTCTGTGTTGCCTTTCCTTCGGTCACCATTACCTATGGGTCATGGATTATTGTTACCGGGAAAAATTGTGAGGCTGGACATCATTCGGAGAATAGGTTTTCTACTGTTTTTCATTCTCTGTGGTGTTTTGTTGTTCCAGTCGTGGTTCTTCCTGTTGGTGGTTCGTCGGCGGCGGTTGGTTTGATTGGTGGCCGTACACACCCTGGTTCCCCTCGTTTCTTCCGTCGTCTCCTGTGGCGTTTGACTTTGGCTTCCGGGTCAACCTTTTCTTCGTTATTGTGTAGGGCTAACGCAAGGCTCGTTTGTTATCCAAGGCTGGGCCCACCATTTATCAATCCCTCTAATGTTAAGCAGAGTTGTTGCCAGCCGCTTCTGGAACTTGCTTCCTTCTTTGTGTGGCTGTTGTTGCCTTATGGGAATTATTACAATAGGTCCCTTGGTTTCCTTTTATGGTGGTTTGCTTTGTTAGGTGTCTTTTGTGTGTTTGCTTCTCTCTATACTTTTGCTAGGGATCGTCTTTGTACATTTGTGGTTGTGGTTTTTGTTATGGTGTTATGGTTCGCCATTGGTTTGCTTTGGCTGTGTTTGTGGTCGTGTTTCTTGTAGATGTCGTAGGGCTGCTGTTGCCAGGCCAAAAAAAAGAAAAAGTTAGACTGTCATCTGAAAAAAAAAAAAAAAAAAAAAAAAAAAAAAAAAAAAAGGCAAGGACAAAAATAATATATTGCGGTCAACAGAAGGTTTTTGTCCTCAATTAAATGACATCATTTTGTTATGTTTTAAGTTCAATACGTTGATGTGGCCATGTAATCCCTCATAACCATTAAAAAAATGGACAACACAACTTTCTTATTTACCAAAATTCATTTTTTTTTTTTTTTTTTGTCAAATAACCAAACAATTCCTAATCTTCTTCAGCCCGTCTCTCACCAACTTTCGTCCATGGCCGCCAAACAATTTTGACATGCCTGTATTTGCAAGTTTTGCATAGCGTGAGAAAGAGATGAAAGAAAGGAAGTAAGAAACAATACAAGAGTTGGGGAGTTACGTGTGTGAAGAAACAAAATAAATAAATAAATAAATAAGGATAGTTTGTCTTCTTTTTTTTTTTTACTTATAATATTAATTGGAGAGTTTGAATATAATAGTGCAACGCTAATATCATTTTTTTAATAATAATTGTAATAATAATAATTACAACGAAAAAAATGATGAAACAACTATGATGGGGACATCCCTATCAGTTAAAAAAACAACTATGAGGGATTATGGCCTTCCGATATGATGCTGTGATAGGGGACTCAAATTAATCTTGGACGCACCGTGATTAACCTAAATTTACATAGTGATTAAATGACAATTATATCCTTTTACATCAACTTCCATGAAAATTGAACACAATTCCATACCTATTGCATTGGATATACAAGGTGTCTTGTCCCGTAGTCAAACATATATGCAGTGAAATGTAGGGGTTAAAAAGTCTCTCAGCTGCGATCCCATTACTTGTTAGTCAATTAATTGACGGGTGCCTTTTCAAGATTGGAGAGGTTAATGATAAAAATTTCTTACAGTTATTAACAACATTGAATAATAGAAGGTGCAATGTCATGTATGAAATTTCACTTTTTCAACTCTTAATGAGGTTAGAACTTCAATTTTAACCACTAGTAACTTTGAGTTGTAACAAAGAGAAAAGAAAAGTGACTTTTGTTGATGAAAAATGATAATATGTCCCAAACTCTTCTTTTAAAGGCAACACTGCAACAATCATTATTCATGATCTCTATGAACATTAATTTTAGGGATGTGAAGATTCTAGTTGTCTTACATCCGCCACACTGCAATCTAAAATTCTTCTATTGGTGTCTGTATTTAAAGATAAATATATCAGGTACATGAGTTTGTTTTTCTCTTCTAATCTTCGTGGCTTAAAAAGATGATCAATTTCATGGCAATTTTAATGATAATGGTCTCTTGAGTCATTTTTAATTACTTCATTTTACGTTAATTTTGGTCGGTCTATTTTAAGATTGTAAATGAATCGGTCTGAGTCAAGGTCGGATTGCTGGGCTTGCCTCGGGACTACGATGAGCTCGAAAAGCTAAGTGCGGACTCGGCTCGTCATTTTTTTGAAAAGTTTTGACTCAAATCGTGCTCAACCGTTTTAATAACAAAAGTTGTTCATTCTCTATTTTAGCTTATGTTCAACATTGTTTTGGCTTCTTCATTAACTTAAACATTGTTTTGGCATGTTCATTAACTTATACGAAGTTCAGCCCGGTCCAGACAATAAGTACTTGACATTCCACATAGTTGAAATATTCAAGCATTAAATAGTTGAAATAGATAACTACCCTCAGGTTGGACATAAATGCCCAAATCCAAAAGTTTGCATCTTACATTACAAACAATTATTTAAAATTTACCCAGAACCCTGTTAATTTGCTAACAAAAATAGTCTACAGTAGTTGTCAAAGAATCCACCACAGTAGGATAATATAAGCACAACCTTTGCATAAAAGTCCACTATCTCTAAAACAACCATTCAAAGACCAAAACCAATACAAACCACAACACATTAGGCCAGCCAAAAAGCACTCCATTATCAAATACACCAACCATTCTCTTTGGAGCCACTGACATAGACAAGTCCACACTGTCTGGGGCCTTAGAGGAATAAGCAACATCATCCTCTGAAGGTTGAGACCCATCCGGCCCTAAAGACCCCGAAAAGGGCACCGAAGGAGGCGATGGAGGCGATGTTGGTGCAGAACCAGGGGACCATTTACTGACAGTAATGGTTACCTTCTGTCCGAGGGTACAGTAGTTTGAGAAACTGCATACAAAATAAAAGACACCTTTCTCAATCAAAGGAACGGTCGCCGGACCACTTGTGAAGGTCCTGAAGGCATAATCTGCAGTACAACTCTCATACTCTCGTGCTGACACCTGCATTACATTGTGAAGTTCGGATTCAAAGTCGAAAACTGCACGGGAAAGACAGAAATTTTGTAGAAGTTAGAGATTTTCAGAAAATAATGTTTCTTCAACAATACATATACACAACAGTGTGTGTATTATATATGACACATTGACGAGTGGATTCATGTACAAGTATAGTACGTATAAAATGGGAAGGGAAAATGTTACGTTAGACTAATCCGATATTTTTATCTGTGAGGGGTTCACCCACTCAGCGATGAAAACAGTGAAATTAGTCTCACTGTCGAACTCTCTATCATTAACTCAATGGGAAGAAGAGGCCAATTACGGAGAGTGTCACCGACGCAGAAAGAATGAGAGGAAGACCAGTTAGTGTAGAAGTGTGGGGTTGATGGGATGGACCAAGCTGAATCTCCCACTATATGTTGCAGAGCATATGAGCGACCCAACAATGTAAACACCATTAGGAGTGCTCTTGATATCAAGAAACAACCACTTTGCACCACCATTCGGAGTCACACGCATAGCACACACAGAGAGTTATTGAGGATCAACCGTTATTGAGTAACTAGATAGGGAGGGAAGAGAAAACGAAGAGGTGCAATATTTCAAGAGGTTGTAACTGTCCATTCAAAGAAGAAACTGCATGTTGGTTGGTGTTTTTTTAAATTGACCGTCCGTGTGTTGTGTATGTGACGTATTATTAAAAGGGAAATTTATATCACTCTCATGTTGATTTTCCCTTTAAATATTATTGCATTTGAGAATTGTTTAAGTTGTGAAAGTTTACAATATTCCTAAGCTATCATACTTTCAAAGTTTTTGATCGTTGGATGTGGTGGTATGACTCACCTGAGAGATGATTTAATGGTTTAGAAATCCGAAGTACTGTAGACTTTCTCAACTTAATTGTCAAAAATTTTGGAAAGAAAGTAAAATAGGGGTGATAAAAACTTCCCAAGTCAGATCTTGTGTTGTTTTTTTCCAGTTGGGAAATTATAACAATTTTAATAAAAAATGATATCAACACCCTACTAAAATACTCTCAGTTTCCATTTGTTTATTAAGAAAATGAAATAGAACAGAAGTCCCTAAAAACCATATCGTCCTTCTCAAAATCAATATTCAATCATCAAAATATATAAACAAAAAACTAGCCAATTTTACAAAATATAAACAAGTGAATATTAGTATAATTCTACCCCATTTCAATTTTTCAAAGTAATATTAAACCAAAAAAAAAAAATGGACTAATTCCTTTGTGGTAGCTCTCTTAATGCATAAATAATATTAAGGCTTTAAAGAATTAACAGGGATGGAACAGACTGATCAGTGGACTACATGAATATGATCCAGAGCAATGACAATCACAATAGAACAATTTGCTCTTGGTATGATACCGGATTAAATATTAAATCAAAAGTTCTAATATTAACGATAACAGGTAGAGTGAGTGTTTATTAATGACTCAAAAATTTAAATTATTTAATACGATGTGAAACACTCTAATACAAAACCATTTGAACCATAAATTTGTTCTAAGCAACCAAAACATCCCAAAGAAAAGAATCAAAAGTGGATCAGATGAGCCCAATCAAACACAAGAATCATAGCAGATAACAGTTGATCATGTATTCCCTGGCAGCTAAAAGCCAAATAAACCGATAAAAAAGAATATTAAAATTAAAGAAAGCTATTGATCTTCATTCGTCATTTGAGATGCCACACAATGAAACAGAAACATTTCTAATGAGATTTGTTTCCACAAGATCCAATTTCATGTGACACCAAATAAAATGTAACGGCATTTCAACAGTAAACGACAAATTGACTGAATGTATTTATTTGCATAATTTTTAAAATGTAAGGGAGTTATTTAAACTTTAGAACGGAATTTGCACCTTGTTTATTAGATTTAAATTTATTTGGTGTATTTTGCCCTGTTTAAATGAGCAATTTTTGCATGACATTGATAATCACAATTTCTTTACCTAAGTTTAAGCATTTCATTTGAATGAACATTAACAATATATTATCATGTAACCCTCTAACAACTTTGCAGCCTATGCTTATGAATTGAAGAAGGATAAAGTAGAACTTTTGATGATATTTATTTAAAATATTTTAGTTATATAATGTGTTTTTATTTATTTATTACTAAGTTATTGTTAAATTTGGAATTTAATCAAGAACATAGCAGGTAAATATGTACGGAATTGCCATCTTCAACCATACGGAATTGCCATCAACTGTACATCTATGTGAGTAGGTGTTACTCTCTATGATAACGAGAAAGAATACTATAGTGGAGAGGTGAAATTCTAAGTTAGTATAAAAACACAAAAATGTTTTATCGATTGTTGGGAATTTTCTCTTGTTTTTCAACCATTCTAATTCTTTATTTGTTTTGACATTGATACCATAATGCTAATGGGTAATTGATTGGTAATTGGGAATTGAGTAATTGAAAATTGAGCATCAACATGTATTTGTTGGCTTCAATTATTAATTAATTAATTTTAAGCTCCTTATTTATAGAATTTTTTATTGTTTTTTTTAGGGTAATTTTACGTCAAAGAAGCCTCTTATGCCGTTGGAATTTGGAAGGTTATTATGTCAAAAACTAGAAAAAGAAAGAAAGAAAGTAAAAGTCCTCTTTGGAGTGGTAATATCAAATGTAAGTAGGGGTATTCAAAAAATTTGATGAATCAAAAAATTTGATGAATCAAAAAATCGGATCAGACCAGACTGAATTGGACGGTTTGGGCTAATTGTATAGCGGTTTGGTCCGATCATGGGCCCAAAATTATGAAACCTTAATTTTTCAGTTCGGTCATAGTTTGGGGTCCTGTTGGACCGGCCAGGCCCGAACCGAACCGTTATATAACTTATAGTATATGTATATATATATATATATTCTTTTCAACTTCATAGTGATTAGTGAACTAAGTTTATATACTTTTAGTCATGGTAAGAAATAATTATGATAGCTGGGGACTTGAAAAATTAGTTATTCCGTACTTGATCTATCTTGTTTTTTGAAATTTTGAGTTATTTTTTTTTCTTTTCCCAATACCTCGTAAATGGTAAACAAGGAATGTTGTATTTTTTTCCTTGTGGTCATCTGGTCACTGTCTGTTTGTATCTTCCACAGGTGCCTGATATTATTGACAATGCATATGTGATTGTTATTTGGTCAGTGTCGGTTCCCTGATGTATTATATGCAGGGAAAAACAAGAAATTTTGTTTTTTTTTTAAAAAAAAAAAAAGAAATCAACTTAAACCGACAAACTGAACTGAACCAAACCATTTTTTCACGGTTTGGTTTGGTTTGGTTCCATGGGCATTACAGTTCGGTCTAGTTTCAAAAATAGTAGAATCGTTATAAATGATTTGGTCCCAAAAAAACTTTCAATCCGATCTAAATCGGACCGTGTGCTTCCCTAAATATAAATACCCAAATACTCAAAAATTAAGTTAATATATGTCTCGGCTTTAAAAAAATCATATTTATTAATAACCTTTTAATAACCTCTATACGTGCAACATCATAATAATAATAATAATAATAAGGGTTAATTCCATAAAACCCTCACTATTTTTGAATTTTGATCATAAACTCCCAACCTATTTCAGAAAACTCTCTACATTTTTAAAAGTGATCACATTACCTCGAGATCCGTGTCCGACCCGTTAACCGGATTGTGAAATGTTGAATTTGACCTTGATTTACTATTAAACTAAAAGTTGATATTTATTATTTTAAAATTACAAGAATACCCATGAACGTGTCTTCTTCCTCTTCACATGAATGGGTTATAGTAGCATGGGATCACTGGAAATTTTGACTCGACTTGGTGATTTCTAAGGTATGATGGTTGATATGATTATAGAGAGAGAACGATACAAAGACAGAAGGAAACAGAGAGGTTGGGCGAGGTCGCCGACGAGCAATTTGTTGCCTTCACTGTTTGATACCAATGGCTTGATGGTCAATGTTCAAGAGACTTTGATGATATGTTCATCCACTTGAAATAAAGCAGGTTTCTTTCTTCACGTTGAAATCAATAGGTGCTCACCATTCTTGCATGACTTGATGCTCGTTGTTTATGAAACCTGCAGGTCACTGAGCGAATGACCAATTATTCATCAACGAGCGAGAGGGAGAAGGAAGAGATACCCCCACAGGCGGCGATATCGTCGTCTTGCCAATCACGGAGTCCGGTGAAAACAGACACAACTCGATGATGGTGACATCCATGACACAACCGCGAGCAATGACGAGCTCTAAAACAAGGAACAAACTCTGGTGAAGCACTGACCAAATAGAGAGCTTTGTATGTACTTGTTTTTCGAGTCAAGTTGAGAAATGAAGATATCTGGGATATACCACTAAAACAATATGAAAAATACAAAAAAGTGGTTTGAGGGAGAGAAAACCAGCCCAATCTGAGGACTGAAACAATGGTAGAGAAGACGAAGTCTAGAGTATTATCAGTGCCTAAATTTGTTATTGTCTTTCCTTTTTGTCTTTGCCACCTGTTTTATAGTCCTAGGTCATTCAGGTGGTATATGTTGGCCTCCGGATAAGATAGGTCGGGCCTATATTCCTTTATGGATCATGATGCCCTAATCCATTTTCTTTCAGTTCTGTTACCAAGTGTACGTATATCCTTAAATAACCCAAATAAAGGGTAGTTATAAAGGTGTCTGTACTTACTACAGCCTGTCTTTCACTTTTATCCTCAAATTGGGTCCTGCCTTGGCTAATTTTCCATCCTCCATTCCAAAGTCCCTTTTGCATTCCCACTGGCCTCGAAGAGTCCTACCATTACTCTTTGTTATTCATTTCCTTTGATAGGATGTGGCTTGGTCGAATCGAGGCTCGAGGCCTATCGACTTACATTTCATGGCTTGGTCGGATCGAGGTTCAAGGCCCATCGATCGACAGTTCGTGGCTTAGTCGGGTCGAGGTTCAGGGCCCATCGATCGACGGTTCGTGGCTTGATCGGATCGAGGTTCAAGGCCCATCGATCGGCAGTTCTTAGCTTGGTCGGATCGAGGTTCAAGGCCATCGATAGACAGTTCTTGATTTGGTCGGATCAAGGTTCAAGGTCCATCGATCGACAATTCATGGCTTGGTCGGATTGAGATTCAAGACCCGTTGATCGACAGTTTATGGCTTGGTCGGATCGAGATTCAAGGCCCATCGATCGACAATTCATGACTCATCGATCGGCAATTCATTTTTTGGTCGAATGGAATTTTAAGATCCATCAATCGACAGTGGGTCCCATGCTTTATGGGTTCATCAATCAGTTGTTTGCTTTTGCTGGAGCTCTCGTATGAATCAAGTGTTTGCCATTTTTTGACTTCTTATTTATTCCTTTGAGGCTGACAATTCGGTGACGTCAGATTAATTTGAATCTTTGATGACATGTCTTAATCATGTCCATAAGCTTCAATACTCTAGTTCCGATGGTAATAAGACCTATTTCATGATTCTGACCAAGCTTCAATGCTCCAGTTCTTGTCTGGTGAAGCACTGAACAAATAGAGACCCAAAACAGATAGCTTCAATGCTCCAATTCCGATGCTAACGACACCCATTTCATGATTCCGACCTAGCTTCAATGCTGCAGTTTTTGTCACTATAAACAATTGATCACGTGCTTGAAGAAGGGAAATTGAGGGCTGTAAATCATTAAGAAGCTGATAACCTCATTGTCAATTGCTGCTCACGTGATTTTCATTTCAAGATGCTTCTATTGGGAGATTCCAAATTAGATAATGAAAACTAATGCATGCTCCTAATACTATATGTGTACACCTGAAAAAGATGGTAGGGTCCAAAACATTCTGAATCCATTAACCATCATATCCAGAAATCACCAAGCCGAATTAAAATTTTTGATGAACCCATGCTATCACGACTCAGTTCCTGTGAAGAGGAAGAAGATCCATTTAGGGGTATTTTTGTAATTTTAAAATAATAAATTTTAACTTTTTGTAATCTAAAATGTGTATATGTGTATCATATACTATAGTATAGTACTATTTAAATATTTTATATATATATATATATATAAAATTCTCTAATGATATATATTATATTAAATAAAATATATTTATATTAGTATAATAATAAAACCGAACTATATAAATAAAGAACATGATAATAGGCCGAGACTACAATTTAATTCTATGTCCTTAAGATATATTCACTCCGTTATGGTATTGACAAACTATGTAGCGTCTGTCTCCCAAGATACAACGACATTTCTTTCTTTGGTAGCAGCACTGCAAACCGGAGAAATGGGTGAACCGGCTCGGTGTAGTACTCTCTAACCAAACTCAAACTCAAACTCACACTCTAACGCTACATTTATGCAAAGAAATGAGAAGAAGGAAGACTGGAAAAATTTAGAAGTAGAAGAATTCTGAATTTTGATATAATTTGCAAATGAGAGGGTATTTATAGTGCCTTTTCTGGATGCGATGGTTCAATTCAAAGAGAAGCACCGGTTCGGACGTCAGGTGAAACCCATCTAAATAAGTCAAGCTCAAAAATTAAATTTAGTCCAAACACAAGGCCCAGTTCAAAATTCCTTAAAATACAAATTTAAAAGGACTTTTTAATCCCAATCCCAATATCGGGTTGGGCGGGCGCGCATGGTAAATGGCTTGTATCTAAGCTTGCCTAGGTCCTCCTCTCCCTCTTAAAAACTTGGGTACACTTGGGTCGAAACCCAAATTCCAAACCTGGGCTATATACACTCTAATTGATTTCACTTTATTTTCAATGTAGGACAACCACTTCTCACATTTTGCATACTCATTTAAGCTTATCAAACACCTTACTTTGAAGATAATTTCTTATTTATTCGGAAATGGATTTGAGAAAGTAAATATATCATATTCATCTCTTTATGGAGGAGAATGCGTTCGTCTATAGATCAGTAAAAAATTCTTAGCGGAACCTGATCAAAAATTCACCAAAATTTATGTTTTGTATGCTCTGTTTTCAATACTTTTAATTTAATAGTAAATCATAACATCAAATTTGACATTTTACAACCCGGTTAACGAGTTGGATATTGATATTGGGCAATTTGATCACTTTTTAAAGTGATGAATTTTTTTTAAAAAGTAGGTTAAGAATTTATGATTAAAATTTAGAATGGGAGTTTTATGGAATTAACCCTGATGATAATAATAATAATAATAATAACAGTAACTTGGAAAAGATGATGAAACGACTATGAGGATTATGGCCATTCTGATGTGATGATGTGATATTGGATCAAAATAATATTGGGAAGCACCTTGATTAACCTAAATTAACGTAGATTCATTTAATGAGAATTATATCCTTTTACATCATACTTCCATGAAAATTGGACACCACCATATCCAAATAGCATTTAAAATACAAATACAAGGTATATTCAATTTAATGACAATTACATTCAGCTGCGATGTAGCGGTTAAAAAGTCTCCTTCAGATTAGCCCAGTCAAACACAAGAATCATAGCAGATGATCATTGATCATGTAATCCCCTGGCAGCTAAAAGCCAAATAAACCAATAAAAAAGAAAATATCATTCCGTTGTCAAAGTTCAACATAACATTTATGAGAAAGAACATTAAAATTAAAGAAATGTGTTGATCTTCATTCGTCATTCGATGTTAAGACACCGTACAATAAAACAGAAATATTTCTAATGTGATTTGTTTCCACATTATCCAATTTCACGTGACATTAAACAAGGCCAAATAAATTGTAAAGGCATTTTAATTGTAAACGACAAATTGACATAATATATTTATTTGCATAATTTTTAAAATGTAAGGGTTTAGAAGGGCATTTGCACACGGCATTTGCATTTTACCATGTTTAAATGAACAATTTTTGCATGACATTGATGGTCACAATTTCTTTACCTACGTGTAGCAATTTATTTGAATGAACATTAACAATATATTATCATGAAACCCTCAACAACTTATGAATTGATGAAGGATAAAGTAAAACTTTTGATGATATTTATTTAAAATATTTTAATTATATAATGTGTTTTATATTTTAAATTTGGAAGTATGGGAGGAAACTAAAACTTACAACAAACCAATTTTTAATGAGAAAATGTCAATTCCACCAATTTCTATGGTATATCCCACCGCGTTTGATGAACATCGGTCATTGGATCCTTGGATCAATTGAGAAATGGTAGACAGTGAACCTGGTTGAAGGTGAGAGGAACTGATTTTGGCTGCACAATATATAAAGAGAAAATCAATTGGGAATGAGAGATCAAGAAACAACTATTGTCCACATTTGACGATTGATACACTGATAATGATACTAATCGCAACATATATATATAGAGATGTGTGTGTGAGTTTGTGTATGTGTATTAAGAACGAATTAAAGGAAGAACAATCATATAATGATTTAAAAAAGTAGTAAGATTGATTGATAAGAACAACTAAAATAACCGCAAGGGAGTATCACTATTGAAACGATAGCATATATGTATGTACGTGAATGTGTGCAACCCTAACCTCTTTTGTAATTTAAGTGTTAAATATAACCATAACACCTAAATCTACTTTCCTTAATTTTATCATTTATGGGTGCTTTATCTAACGTTCCCGTCACAGATTAATTATTTATTTATATCTTCCAATAATGTTGTTCACCTGTATTAAAATGTCATGTGTCCTGCATGTAAGTAAAATCTAATTTGAAATAAAGTTATAAATTTACTTTTGAAATAATGTACTTAAATTTAATTTATTAAATATTTTTATAATAATAATTTCTAATGTAATTAAACAAATATTAAAAAAAAAAAAAAAAAAAAACCCTACCAAAATATAATTTTTAGGTAAATTTTTATGTAAATTTTTTGGTAAATTATTTTTATTCAAATTGTTAAATAAATTAACATCACATATAATTATATACACACTTAAATACAATAAATTTTAATTGAAAAGGTAAATCCAATGACACAATGATTAGTCAAAAATAAGTTTTTGTGATGCCTAATTTCTCAAATACTATACATTATCAAAAAAATTTACATACTATGCCGTTAAAGTTCAATTTCTGAAAAGTTTGACATGCAATAAACAATTCTTACGCAGGAATTTGAATGGGAAATGATATTAACACCTTACAAAAATACTCTCGCTTTCCACTTGTTTATTAAAAGAAGGAAATATCACACTAGTCCCTCAAAAACAGAACTTCCCTCTCAAAATAAATATTAAATCATAAAAATATATATGAACGAAAAACTGGTCAATTTTACAAAAATATAAGCAAGTGAATATTAATATAATTCGATCCCATTTCATTTTTTTTAGAATAATATCAAACCACCAAAGAGTGGAACCAATCCTCTATGTAATAGGTCTTAATGCTAAATAATATTTCAGTTTGGAACAGAGTAAACCACAGAAGGCTATAATGTGGTCCATACAAGATTCCAAAACATGGAACAGTTTCAATGGTATAAATTCAACAGAGCAATGACATTAATTTGTTCTAAGCAACCAAAACATCACAAAAGAAAAGAATCAAGAGTAGCTCAGATGAGACCAATCAAATGCAAGGATCATTACAGATGATCATATATAATCCCCTGGCACCTAACGGCCGAAAAAACCAAAGGGGGGTTTGATCATCATTCGTTATTCGACGTCGAGATCGCCACACACAATGAAACAGAAACATTTCGAAATGTGATTTGTCTCCATGAGATCCAATTTCATGTAACATAAAACATCGTAACGAGGCTTTCTAAACAGCCCCTATCCAAATGCATGAAGACAAGAGGACTACATATTAACAAGCTCAAAAATATCCAGCTGGAAGTGACATTCAAGTAGGCAATATACTGTCAGTGATCACTGATCACACATCCAGTGCAAGGAGACTATATAAGAAACTGCAACCAGAGAGAGATATTTTACTGAAAATTAAAGATCTGAAAGCACAAATAAAAATATATAAAAGTGTAATAGGTGAAACTAAAAAGATACGTTACATATATAGCAGTCTTGGAAAAATGAAGGCATCGAACCAAAATTTAATCTATAGTAGATACAGGACATACTTGGGAGCAAACTCCCATTTTGGCTATAACAAGGAATCCTCTCAAGAAGCCATCTTTTAAAACCTAAGCATCTGTATCCTGCTTGCGCTCTTTAATGAATGAACCGACAGTTTTGAACCAGCGCATAAGTCTCCGATGATCCTTCACATAAAGCCAAGCTTGAAGAAAATGAAAGAGGTTCTCATTCACACCTCGCTCTTCGATGTACCCATGTAGTGCATCTCTCACCCGATCATCGAGATCTCTGTTTATTGAACAGTTTGTCCCAAGAATCTTCCAATTAGATATGCTTCATATGTGCAGTTTTAAAATTATGCAGTAAAAAAAGATATAAAAGGAATATCTGGTGAACTAGTACTAAGAAGAATCGGGAAGTGCACTTAAAAGGACCCAGCCAAGTATATAAACATAAATGGAAAAGTGATGTAGGATCACTTGATAAATAATTATCGAGCAGAATGTTAACTAGAACTTTTTTATTGTCTCAAGTAGTAGAGAGAAATAGACTAGCTTAAATACATTATTCATGTAATGATTTTGGGAACATTTTAGATGGTTCCTCCTAGTACGCTGCAATATCATGAATCCATATAATGCACAAGGGCGGGCTAATGTTTAAGTAGTACATCAATTCTCATAATATATGGCAACTTGCGAGAAATGCAAAAATCCACTAATAATTCAGCTGAGGGAAGCCACAATGTAGTTCAACATCAGCAATGTTAAGAAAAAGAAAATTAAAAATTTGTTACAGAAAAAGGCATATTGAATTTAGGTATCATCCAATACTAGTGTGTGTATCAAGTTTAAAGCTTAATTATTACAGACACTACTGGGTGTACATGAGTTGGGTGAAATCCAAGGGGAACTGAGCCCAAGAGTAACTATTAATTTAGTTTTTTTTTTTAATAATTAAAAAGAAGAGAGAGAGAGACTAACAGCTATCAAATTTATGAATGCCTAGATGGCTCACATACAAACTGAACCTCATGCTGATAAAATCTGTAAATGATTTTTTCCCCTCACGTTGCAACGAGATGAATTACATGAGACAATAATAGTTCACAAAAAATGTGGCAAACAGAAATGAAAAATAGATAAACATCCATCCATCAAATTTCGAATCACTTCTTTTTTTCCCCTCTGTGGGTTGGGGCTGGGGTGGTTATCAACAGAATTGCTAGCTACCTATCTATCTATATACATACATACAGATGTGTGCACTTTTAGGAACATTTTCCAAATATACTCTCTTAATATGAAATGCAACATTCACGACTCTATTGTCCTCCCATCGTACCATTCTTATTCACAAGTAATTGTTTTCTATATTCCATATGTTTAGATCAAAGTAAAACTCAATGACAGATTACAGAGCAAGAAAAAACCATGTCAAATGGAGATAGTAGTGAAAATTTCAAACGTTAACAAAACATATGCCCGTTGTCATCAAGCAAACCAGCAAAACACGCAAAAAGGCTAGATGAGGGTCGAAATAGTAATGATGTTTCCAGTTCAGTTAAGTGGTTATAAAATAGTAATGATGCTTCCAGACAGAAAACAGCCAAGTCTAGTTTGATAACTAGATACTGCTTCAGTAGGTTACTCAAAAGCAGCTCCTGCACCTTCTTCACCAAATGCCATCTCAATGTTCCATAAACATGATAAAGGAAATTAAAAGTAAGGTCCTAAACCATGGTTCCTTCCAATCAAACTATCATATATAGTGTCTCCCTTGAAGGAGTACGAAACATCCTCGTTATTATCTGAAACTCTTATTTTCTCAAGATGGCATGCTTATTTAACTTGATCTATCTGAATCTCATAGCTCATTTTCATCCTCCTCCTTCAATGGAATTTTGGCTGAGGATTACACTATTTTAAGCTCCAGAAGTGAATCTGTCCAGCCAGTGGCAAACCTACAAAGGACCAGAGGGGCCACCATCGGCCATGTACCCTCGAAAAATTACAAAAATCCTAATAAATTTGAATATAAATGGTGAACTTGAAACTATATAAGTATAAGTTGAATATGTCCTCCAAACCTATGAAGAATCTCAACTTGAGCTCCTTTAGACATTACTTATGGGAGCTGCATTCAGAGGAAAATCCAAATACAACAAACATCCCCTTTCTTCTTATTATTTTATGTGCTTAATGAGTTATGAGAGGCTTTTGGTTTATAAATAGTCTTATCTTTTAGATCTTGTTCTATATTAAGAATATTTACAAAAACTACGTTCTTCCGTTTTCTTCTTTTTATTTATTTTTATTTTATTTGTATAAGGCAATATATCCTACAACTTCTACTCCAGAAAAATATATATATATATTACAATTCACAGCTTTTAAAAATATATATATAAGGCAATATATCCTACAACTTCTACTCCAGAAAAATATATATATATATATATATATATATATTGTTTTCAGATATCCAAATATATAAATATATATATATATATATATATATATAAAATTATTTCTTCATTCTAAATTCTAAGTGGATTCTTATTCTATTTCTGTATTCTTTCTAGAGAGAATTAATAAATGCCCCGCCCCCCCCCCCCCCCCCCCCCCCCCCCCTCATTTAAAGGATAGAGAATGACAGATAGGGAATATAGGGGCTTTTCTATCGCATTTCAATTCAAAATGCATCACTGAAAATTCAATTAATACGGGATGTAAGGTTTTTCTAAGTAACTAACTTCCTTCAATATGAATACGAAGGGACTGAGAATATGATGAAACGCCCTTCGGCGCTGCAATTGAAAATTTCTTGGTCCTCCCATGGTCCGGCACAGAGTTGATAATGTGGACTGGGCCAGTGAATTTCAGCAGATGTGAATTGACTAGAATGTATGTGACAATGAGGCAAGAGTATTGTTTGGACATGCTTATCAACTAAAATTTATTTTCATGTTTAAGTGCATTTGTTGTTGTAGAATTAGAGAAAGGTAAAAATTAGTAAGCTTTTATTGCTCACGACTTACAAGTGAATGTACCAACCGCAAACCATATGAAATCATCTTTAAGATTTAACAAAGTTCATTAATAATCATTAAAGACCCAAGCTTATGGGATTATAAGATTAGAACATGTGAAGTCATATATTTAAGTAAGAATTGGGTGAGGTTGAAAAAATCATGGCTTCAGCAGTCATTACCATCATGTAACACCCCTACATCCTATATATGCCACATTATAACGTCTACCATACTTAAAACCGTGATATTGCTACTACTTCATGTTCTTATTCTTCCTCTCGTCTCACTATCCTTCTACTCTCATCTTCATCTATCTTTCTACCTTGCCGTGACTGGTAGTAGAAGCTTAGTATACATGGCTCATTACATGACCCTTGCCGGTGCAGCCCCAACACTACCTTACTAGTGAGATTTTAGCCTTCTTATATTTAAGTAAGAATTGGGTGAGGTTGAAAAAATCATGGCTTCAGCAGTCATACCATCATGTAACACCCTATATATGCTACATTATGACCTCTACCATACTTAAAACCATGATATTGCTACTACTTCATGTTCTTATTCTTCCTCTCGTCTCACTATCCCTCTACTCTCATCTTCATCTATCTTTCTACCTTGCTGTGACTGGTAGTAGAAGCTTAGTATACATGGCTCATTACATGACCCTTGCTGGTGCAGGCCCAACACTACCTTACTAGTGAGATTTTAACCTTCTTTCATCATTCGTCAATTCATCTCTGTCCAGTTTGCACCATATCTCCTTCGTTTTTGTTTAAACCATGATAATATAAAGGTTGAACACGCAAAGTTATCTGAATTTCAAATATGGCCATTTTAACTTGGTTGTTATTCATTGGTTTTCTGAAGTTCAGCCCCTTCAGTGGAAGAAACCGAACTTTTATGATATCCCATTGCTATTAGTTGCTGATTTTGCCATATTTGGTGGCCAGTTAAGGAACGATTTGAACTTGTGGTTATATTATGTTATCTAATGATTGATCTTTGTTAATTAATGATTGGAAAGCTATATCTTTGACTCATTAAGTTCTTCAAAATATTTTAGATGCTTAACCTAGGGCTACATTGTTGTGTCTCATGTCTAAAGAAAGGCTTCAATACATATGCTTAAATCAAGGCTACAGATATACTTCCTTATTGCACCTTTTACCTCACTGAGGAAATTCTGATAGCTAAAGAGGCCAATGACACTCTTTTGTTCCCCCTAAATTCTGATAGCTAAAGTGGCCAATGACACTCTTCATCCACATCACATCCAGCCATCCACATCCTACCCAAACAATATGTACTAACAACTCAATCAGGATAGCCTATCGCTTAAATTCCACAAACATGATCTCACAAGTCTGATTGGGATGATTGTGGTTGGATAATCCACTCTCTACCAGCCTTCTACACAAATTTCATAAATCATGATTCAAATTCATAGTAATAACCAACATATAAAGCTAAAAATTCAGAGGATCCTTGAATCTCTAGCCAAAACATGAAGGCCACATTCCAAATTGACATTAAGCATAATGTTATTGTTAAGACAAATACTGCAAGCCAAGAACAAACCAAGAATAATGATAGAAAAGTAGACACGCCACACAGAGTACAAAGATTTACGTGGTTCAGCAAAGTCTACGTCCATGACTCCACGGTGAAGATCCAGTGAAATATTTCACTGTGCAAAAAACAAGAGATTACAAGTTTCAGGCCCCAAACCATAGCTCTATCTCTCACTATCTTTCTTGCGATTTTCAGTGTTCTCTCGTTACCCACTCCAAACCCTAAGCGCCCTTATATACTAGGCTACAAGAAAGTACTAAATAGGGTCCATAACCAACAACGGAAAAAATATATATATCACGAAGCACATTTTTCAGGTCGAAATTGGGTCGCGTTGAAAAAAAAAATCAGGCCTCAACATCATAGTTATTATGATAGATGAATATAGAGCTACTCCTTGAAATGTCAAATAGCAATGAGTAAGAAGCTAATTTAAAAAGGAATCAAAATTAACTAAAGATAAATTTATTCTATGACTAAACGAAGCCAACCATAAACACTAACTCTCGCAAAGAGAGCTGCCTGATAACGTGAGATCAACCAGCATTTACAAAGCATACTGTGTTGTCATTAAAAAAGGGATACGGATTAACTGCTGGGTCTAATAATTGCGCCAGAAGGGACAGAGATACCAACCCAGGCTCTAAATTGGAAGAATCATTGCAAATTAGTTGACATGAGAGCTTTAACAGGTTACGATCATGCACTTCCATTCATGCTTTATACCACTATACATCACGTTACAATTAATTTGAATATGACCTTATCAAAATATCATCATATTGCTCATGGTGTGCTCCTTTTACATAATTATTTAAATATAATATAAAAAATATATTTATCAATCTGAATAGATTTTCATTAGGTTGTATGTAGGGTATGGAGGCCCCTATATAAGCTCTGTAATATCTTTTTGTTGACAATTAATGGAAAGTTCTTAATATGTTGCAATTGTATTTGAGTTCTAAAGCCTGATAAAAGTGTGATGCTACTTACACCTTATGAGTGATTCGTAGTCTTACAAATGGACAAATAACATGCAAGACTTTCTTCTCCTTAATTATTCTTTCCTCTTTCATATTCTATAAATTTCTCCATATTTTCTTATTGTTTTTCTGTCAGCTCAGCAACTACAATTAGTTTTTAATAAATCCTAATTACTTTATGGCTTGATGCTTTTCCAACTTCCGAATTTCTACACGAACCTTAATTGGAAAACCCTTAGTCCCTGATTTTTCCATTACAATTCTACATCATCCATACAACATCTCGGACACATAACCTACCCACTAAAACCATCAAGCTGAGCCTGCTTTCGTGACAGTAATATAAGGGCTTCATTTAGTAGACTAGCTTTCCACAGATGTCATCCTAAAAGGGGAGCAGCACTCCTTTCATTTATGCATTAAAGGTCAGATGATACCATTCTACCAGCACTATGGCCCTGACACCCTCTATTTTTCATTTTAAATAAACAGAAGAGTTACCTGAACTTGCCTCTTATACAAATATCCAATAAATGTCACATCAAATATGTTTCACATTGGGTAATTATGCAAAAAACCAAAAACATCCGTGCTAATGATTCCTTCATCCATGAACGGATTCAAATTATGGTAGTTATAATTACCAACAAACTCCATTATTCTCTATGCATCTTATTGAGATTTACCATGACAAAATTGAAAGAAAGGATAAACAGTTACTATTGAAAAACACAAACTTATCAAGAATCAATATGTAGCTTACTCATAAACAGGGCCAATGTATTTCTTCGGAACCTCAAGAGACCCTGAAGATTGGCTCTTTGGCCTCAGTGAAACAGAGTGAATTCCCAATGCATCCGGATACAATCCACACAGAAAATGCAAAGAGTCCGTCTGGCCAGGCTTCGAGACATCCACGTGAAGGAACAATTGGTTTATATCATCACCGTCATCATCTCCACCCCCGGGAATAATGTTAGCCAACCGCATTACAGAGATATTTATTTCCTCATCACCGTAAGTCCGTGTCAAAGCAGGACCACTGCCATCTAGAGACCCTTTTAGAACCGTGAACGGAGAAGGAGGACTCACTTTCTGCAAAAAAATAAAAAAGCATCCAAATTTAGCTAAACCCGGTAAACTCCTACACAAATTTAGCAGTATTTCCACACACAATTCAATTTAGTGGAAATAGCATCACTTCCAATACTAAAAACTTGGATAAATTTAGTATAATGACAAGTACAATGAGAGTGCACACATGTAGTGACTAGTGAGTGAGAGAAATTTCTATTTGTGCTATTAATATGCAGGCTGTGGTGAGGGTTTAAATTTGTATACTAAAACCCTAAACAAATTTGCAGAGCGCCGGATATACAATTTATATATGTGTGCGCGCGTGACGTCTGCAAGGTGAGAGATTGTTCTATTTGTGTTCTTAATAAATAATTATAGAGGCGGTGGAGTCATTTTAGAGAGGTTATATTTGGTGCCACTGGAATCGCAGTGAGTGTACTAAAACCCTAGACAAATTTAGCGGAACGACACATATATAACAGATTGATGTACGCATATCTATATATGTGTGCGCGTATATATATATATATATATAGAGAGAGAGAGAGAGTGCGTTTTACTGGTGGCGGAGTCATTTTGGAGACTTCGAGATAGTGTTCTTTGAGGGAGTGGAGCAAGATAGAGTTGACGGCGGAGGAAGCCGAAAAGGCCGAAGGCATAGAAAACCGACGACATGCTATCGTGCGCCATGGTTGCAGAGCACCGCCGGCGCCGGTTAACACTTTCCTCCACATTTACCTTCCTTTCTCTGCGTTTTGCTCACTGTAAGGTCGTTTCGCCACAGTGACTGCTTTTGGGTGTATGTAATAAGTACTAATTCCTACGAGTACTATAATTAATATTGGAATAAATTTTACTTACCTAGATTTATCAATATTTCACATGAATCTCTCTACATTTTATAAATCTGAACAACTAGGTAATTGTCTAATTGAGATTATAAAATGAATGAAAAATCGCTAAAAATAATATTTTAAACCTCAAACAATTCATAAACAAAATGATAAAATAAAACTTATTTGATATATTTTAGGCAAAAGTGCAAACCCCCCGCCCCCCTCCAAACTATCCAATTTTTGGCAAATACCCACCTTAACTAGGCAAAGTGTGCAAATACCCCCCTGGAAGTCACTGGATCAACTTTCCGGCAACTGTTGATTTGAAATGACCGAAATGACCTTACTTATTAAATTATATAAAAAAAATAAAAATAAAAAATAAAAAATTAATTGTGAAATGTCAATTTTACCCTACTAAATTAAGTTGCCCTAAAATCTCATTTAGTTGATTATGTTAGAGAGAGAGACACACAAAGAGTTAGAGAGCGATGGAGGCGCACATACGAACTTAGGGTTTCATACTGTGGGTGGAAGACTTTGATCATATTCTTGTTCTGTTCAATTATGCGCGACATCGTGTTGTTCTTCTCTTCAATTGTGCGTTCCATCGTGTGGTATTTCCTGTTGGGTCTGTCGTTTTCACGAACTTTGATTCGATTTTACAAGTTCTCCAAATATGTAAGTTTAGATTATGTTCTATGTTTTCATGTCGATTTTAAATGAATCTTATTTTTCATTTTGTATGTTAATGGTTATATTTTTGGGTTAATTAGTACTAATTGAATATTTGACTTCTAGGGTTTTTGAAAATCTGTTTTGACCTTGTATAAAATTCTCTTTTTTGTATATATAATACACATGCATGCAATTTTTTATAACTTGGAAAATGTTTGGTGTAGGCTTTATGTTGATTAAAGAAGATAGATCCCACTGACAATAGAGTTTATAGTCAATGACAGTGGTCCATGTCCTTTTTTTTTTACTTTTATGTCTTCGTATAGTGATACACAATGGTCCATGTCTTGTGTTTGATGTCAGTTTGTTTCCTACATCATTTTTAGACTGATGTCTTGTGGGAAATGTTTGATGTCTTGTGATCCATGTCTTATGTTTGATGTCAGTTTATTTTCCATGTGATCATTACTGCATTTATCTTCATATGCTCCATTACTGCATATATAATAACGGTGAAAAAAAAAAATGCTCCATTACTCCATTAGGGTTTATGCATTTTGTTATTTTATTGCTTAGGTATAGGTATTGTTATTTGCTTAATTTTTTATTTTTTGTGCTTAGGGATTGTCTTTTGATTATTTTTTATTTTTTGTACTTAGGGTTTATGTATATTGTTATTTTATTGCTTAGGGATTGTTATTTGCTTAATTTTATATTTCCTGTGCTTAGGGATTTTCATTTAATTATTATTTCATTTTTTGTGCTTGGGGTTTCTACAAATTGTTATTTTATTGCTTAGATATTGTTATTTACTTAATTTTTTATGTTTTGTGCTTAGGGATTGTCATTTGATTATTATTAATTTTTTTTATTAATTTTTTTTTTTGTGCTTAGAGTTTGTGCAAATTATTTTTTTATTGCTTGGGTATTTTTATTTGCTTAAATTTTTATTTTTTGTGCTTAGGGATTCTCATTTGATTAATTTTCTATTTTTTGTGATTAGGGTTTGTGCATATTGTTACTTTATTGGTTAGGGATTATAATTTGTTGAATTTTTTATTCACCATGACTTATGTGTTTTGGTTTGCTTGATTGAACAGACAATGAATACTACCAGGTTGATTACACTGGAAGTACATTTTGGAGGTAATTTCCAATACACACCACTTAAGTCATATATTGGTGGTGAGGTAGACCTACTTGACAATGTTGATGTGGATTTTTTTTATCACTTTTTCATCTAAAAGAGGTGGCTAACAGGCTTGGGTTTGAAAAAAATTATGAGTTGTATTATAGGAATCCAATGGTGGCAAGTGATGAAGGAGTTAAGAAAATTGAAAAAGATAAAGATGTATTGGAATGTATTAATGCTCATAACAGGTTCAGATTGATGAAAATCTTTATAATTTCAAAAGGCAGTGTTGAGGGTGAAAATGCTGAAAATGTAGAGGAAAGTTATGAGTGTATGGAGGATGGAGTACAACCTAAAGTTGACATGCATGATGATGATTGTAATTGGGATGATGAAATACTAGAATGGGCAACTCAGACTGAAAATGAGCTGAGTGATGAATTAAAGCATGAATATGCTACTGTGGATGCTAATGTGGTTGTAGATGTGGTTGATGTGGATGCTGATGTGGTTGAAGATGTGAATGCTGATGTGGTTGAAGATGTGAATGTTGATGTAAATAAAGATGTGAATGGTGATGTGGATGAAGATGTGAATACTCATGTGGATGAAGATGTGAATACTCATGTGGATGAAGATGTGAATGATGGTATGGGTCAATACTCAGATATTGAATCCATAAATTCACCAAGTGATGAGTTGGAAAGTTTATGCAGATCATCCTCTGAAGAAGATGGCAGTGACAGTGAAGTGGATATGGTTCCAAGAAGGCATAAATTTAGGAATAATGTCATAGAACTTGGCAACAAATTTTCTTCACCTGAAGCATTTAAAGTGGACTTAAGGGATGATGCTATTAAAAGAAAGTATGATATTAGGTTTGTGAAGAATGAAGGGAATAAAGTTACTGCTACATGTTCAAAAAATTATGGGTGGAGAATTCATGCATCGTTTAACTCAGAGGATGACAGCTTCCAAATAAAGACTTTTAACTCAAAACATACTTGCAGTTACAACAAGCTTAATAGTCAAGCATTAGCTAGTTATTTTGGCAGCCAAATACATGGACACAATTAGGGATGAACCCATATGGAAACCATCTGCAATGAAGAAGGCAGTTTTAAGAGATTTGAATGTTAATGTTTCCAAATACAAGGTTTATAGGGCAAGAAAGAAGGCTAGATTACACATTGATGGTGACCATGGACTGCAATTCTCAAGGGCTCGAGATTACTGCCAGCTCATTCAGACCACCAATCCTGGTAGTATTGCAGTGACCACTGTTGATAGACCAACACTCGATGACCCTGCCAGATTTGAAGGGCTATTTGTTTGCTTTAAAGCAATGAAGAGAGATTTCTTGGAAGGATGTAGGCCATTCATTGGATTGGATGGTTGCTTCTTGAAGGGTCCTTACAAAGGGCAATTGTTAAGTGCAATTGGTAAAGATGGAGACAATGAAATATTTCCTATAGCTATAGGTGTGGTTAAGTCTGAAACAAAACAATCATGGGAATGGTTTTTAAACCAACTAGAAAGTGCTTTGGGTCCTCTAAACAGATTTACATTTATGTCCGACAGACAAAAGGTAAAAATGTTTAAATAATTTATTTTATGTCATTTATTTTACATTTATGAACTTTTTATATTAATATTTTCTTTACTGTTGGTTAACAGGGTTTAGTTGAAATCTTTGAAGACAAATTGCATGGCACTTACCACAGATTTTGTGTGAAGCATATGTATGAGAATTTTAAGAAGAAGTTTAAAGGTGCGAAGTTGAGGGATGAGATGTGGAATGCAGCACGTGCTTTGACTGAAGATACATTTAAGCATCACATGCATCTCATAAGTCAGATTGATAAGGAAGCCCATGTGTGGCTGTCAAAGGTGCCAGTTAGGTTATGGTCAAGGACTAGGTTTAATGATAATTCAAGATGTGATTTGCTTGTTAACAACCTTTGTGAGACTTGGAATGACAACATTAGTGATGCTAGAGATAAGCCATTAATTACTATGTTGGAGTGGATTAGAGGGTACTTGATGTATCGGTTTCAATCGAAAAGGGAATGGATTCAAACCCAGAAGGAGTTGTTGTGCCCTACAATTGCTGACAAATTGACCAAGCTAATGGATGATTCAAGGCATTGCGCTATAAAAAAAGCATATGATGATATATATGAAGTTTGCTATAAAGGGGTTAGTGATGTTGTTAATTTGGCAAACAGAACATGTAGTTGTAGGGAATGGGATGTAAGGGGTATGCCATGTATGCATGCCATTGCATGTATAATTGACCAAAGGGGTAATCCTGAAGACTTTGTTGATAGTTGTTATCATAGGGAGACATACTTGAGGACATATACATCTATTATTTTCCCTATGCCTCTTAGGCAAATGACACGTGAAGTTGCCACTGATCCCATACACCCACCAATAGTTAAGCCCTCATCTGGCAGACCTAAAAAGACAAGAAAAAAGGTTGTTGGTGAAGTGAACAACAAAAGTGGTGCAGTTAGCAGAAAAAAACAACTGCTCAACTGCAGAAAGTGTGGGGCAAAAGGACACAATGTCAGAACTTGCAAAGCTACTGAAGTAACACCTCAAGCTGCCAAAAAAGGTACACCAGGTAGACCTAGACTGTTAGTTACTTCTGGGCTACCTGGTGGACTGCCAGACATTGATGGACTTGCATCAATAATGGCAAGAGGTATTGCAACTGCAAGAAAAACTGTAAGAGGAAGAGGCATTAGAAGAAGAAGAAGGGTTGCAGGTGGTATGGGAGAGGTTGGCACTACAAGTGGAGGAACTGCAAGTGGTATGGGAAGAGGCATTGGAAGGGGAAGAGGGGCTGCAAATGGTATTGGAGAGGTTAGCACTACAAGTGGAGGGACTGCTAATGGTATGGGAGAGGTTGGCACTGCAAGTGGAGGAACTACAAGTGGTATGGGAAGAGGCATTAGAAGGGAAAGAGGGGCTGCAAGAACAAATGCAAGGCAACTGCAAGAGGTTATTGTTTTAAACCATCATAATCAATTAATTTGAATGTTTACTGTCATATTACTATTTTTAATATTTTATCATTTTGTTTCATAGGTGATGACAATACAATCAAGATATGGGAATTTGTTGAATAATTTGTCTCAACCATCATCATCAATTGATTTCAATGTCTTGTGGAGTAGTCAAGCATCCTCATCATCTAGGTATGTGAGAGTTTTTTTTTTAAAAAAATTCTGGAGCAATCAAGAACAGTTTATAAATGTCTTTGATGATTTTACTTTTTTTTTTTTTTTTTTTTTTCACAGGCCCACTACAATTGACCCAGGAGTTTAAGGAAATTTAGTGGTTTTCTGCTTTTTGGAGTTCATGGTACAGCTTTTTGTAAGTTTTGGTGCACAAATATTGGTTTTCATCCTTTGGTATGTTGATGGTGCACAAATATGGTTTAGATTTTTTTGGTTTGTTGGTGCACAGATATGGTTTACATTTTTTGGGTATGTTGGTGGTGCATAGATGTTTGGTTTTTTGAAATGTTGGTGCACATATGTTGTTTGGTTATTTAGAATGTTGGTGCACAGATTGTAGTTTTGATTTTTGGGAATGTTGATGCAGAACTTAAGATTTTGTATGGTTATGGCTGATATTACTATAATTTATATGGTTATGGTTATGGTTATGGTAATGGCTATGTTTTTTTGTATGTTGGTGATGCATAGATTTTGTTTTTGTATGGTTATGGTTATGTATTTTGTTATGTTCTGCACAAAATTTTATTTTTGTATATGTTTTGCTATGTTGGTGCAACTAGTATGTTGGTGCTGCAAAGATTACCCCAGATGATGATTTTTTTTGTATTGTCATCACCTATTTTGCTATGTTGGTGCAACTGGAAAGTTGGTGCAACACAATATATTATATAAAAAAAATAATACATTAATTAATTATAAAGTCTATTACAATTATATTCTACTAAATAACCACACAATAACCATTACAATAGCACATGCTATAAATCCCAACATGAAAACAACCAAATTTGTGATTACATGATTCCCAATATTGCTTTGCACAGGTGGTGCACCCACAAAGTTCATTCTCCCATCAATAGGCAGTGTTTCATCTTCCAAATGGTTCTTATAACCAGTTCTCATAGCAATTTGGCCTCTCAAAGATGATATGGTTCTCATAACCAGTTCTCTTTCCATATGGTTCCAATTCTCAGGATCCACCCATCTATGGAACCCACAAGACATCATGGGATACCTTCCACATCCGTAGAACCTCCGACCTAGATTATTTTGTGTAGTGGCTCTTCTCAAAGGAGATTTTACTCCACAATAGCAATACAATACATTGCTTGATGGCTCCATATCAGTACCATAATACATATTGCAAGCATGTAAATAATTAAAAAAAAAAAAAAAAAATTAATATTAAACACTACTATGCATCTGAAGGAAAAAAAACTAACACAAAAAAAGTAAAATATAAGTATTATAAATATATATATATATATATTCAAATCTAATATATATGTATTATAAATAAATTTAATTGCATAAGAAAACTCACCTTTGTCCAAAACCCCTTCCAGTTCGTTGTAGAGAGAGAATGAGTACACAATTTGGAAAAATGACATATAATGAGGTTATATAGGCCACAAGGCTATAACGGTCACAAAAAGTGCATTTTCGGCATTATAATACTTTAAACAGGCGCGTGGCATTACACACGCCCGGAAAGCTGATCCGGTGACTTTCAGGGGGTATTTGCACACTTTGGTAGTTAAGGGGTTTTGCACTTTTGCCTATATTTTACCCTTAATATTATGAGTATATACAATTATACACGCAATCATATATATATATATATATATATATATATTTTGCTTTAGCGTACGTATTATGATAATGGTACAGGAAAATGGTACTAACACCGAAAATTTCCATGACATCAATGGCATAAACTTTTTAATGGTTGTACTTAATTTCATATTATTTGATGAATTAAATGAATAAAACAAAATTTTATTATATTAAAATTCTACCAATTTTTACATAATTTTAAAATGGTTGAGAATTTGCACTTGAATTGGAATCAGTAGCCTCACTTTATAAAATTTATCTAATCGAATCTATAAAATTTTCCTTTGACTCTCACAATTTCTTTAGACATTTTTTTATCTTGATCATAAGTTGTTTATTTTTAACTCATTCTTGAAACCAAAAAATAACTTTATTTCCACGGCATATTTAATCAGATTAAATTATTTTTAAAAAGTTGCCACCATCATTCACATCAATTTTATTCCGTTATTTTCATATATATTGCGTGATGGAATCCAAAAAAAAAAAAAGCCAACAACAAAGAACGGGTCGGATCGAATTGGGTTTTTAATACCTGGATAAGCGGATTTGGATCCTCTCGAATATAGCCTAAGCTCCACTTCCAGTCTCCCACTTCTCTTCCTAAAATTCTGTGTATAAATATATATACACATACATACAACGATTCAGGGAAATAAGCTGTCTGAATTATACTATGAAGAGGGGATAAAGCAAAGAGGGTACAATTCGAACTAGGTTAAGTATCTTTATATTGATTTATGTTGGCTTTTTTTGAGGGGCTTCATTACATATTTTTGGGAAACATTACGAGTTTTCATTGCTTATATGAGTTTGTTATACCTTAAATTAAGATTTTGGATTGTGCAAAATTTAGGGTTTATTGATTGTTTTTTAACCATTGTTGATTTCTGACCAGGTCGTTTTATCATGGTTCGCTCTGTAGTACTGTATATACACACACTTACATGCGTTTGTATGTATAAACGCATAGCTATTAATCTACTAAACTGTCATTGAAGAACTAAGGCTTATGTTGGTCGATTGAAACTGGTATATGCTGGGAGCTTAGCCCATGGACTAAGTTTAGGGTTTTGATTTAGATTACCAAATATGAAAAAAAAAAAAAAAAAAATGACTATAAGATAGAGAATGTGGTCTGAAGGCGTATGATTTTGTTTTCATGATTTCTTTACTTTCCTTGAACAGCTTCTGTATCTACAAGTGGTTTGAAGAATTTTAGAGTAAGGAGATTTCATGTCTGGGATGTCATATTTAGACCTTAAATTGGTAGTTGTTCTAATGGGTGTCACTTTTTAGGGTTTGATTTAGATTACCAAGAATGAAAAGAAATGACTTTAAGATATAGAGAATGTGGTCTGATGGCGGATGATTTTTTTTTCATGATTTTTTTTTCTTTCCATGAACAGCGTCTGTATGCTACAAGTGGTTTGAAGATCTTTAGAGTAAGAAGATTTCATGTCTGGGATTTCATATTTAGACCCTAAATTGCTAATTATTCTAATGGGTGTCACGGTGCGTTTTAGGGTTTGATTTAGATCACCAAGAATTAAAAGAAATGACTTTTAAGACAGGGAGAATGTGGTCTGCAGGCGGGTCACTTTGTTTTCATGATTGCTTTTCTTAAACTGCTTTTGTATGCTACAAGAGTGGTATGAAGATCTTTAGGGTAAGAAGATTTCATGTCTGGGATTTCATATTAGGACCCTAAATTGCTAATTGTTCTAATTGGTATCACGGCCCTTTTGTTCGGTGTTCTTTTTGGTTGTTATACGATTGAACTAATTTTATTTATGCTGTTACAATTATTTTTTTGTGTATTGCTTACTTCTATTGGTATTCTTGATACAATTTAAGTTTAATGTCCATTACAATGCATGTGTTCCATTTTTATTCTATTTAATAGATACTGACAGTATTGACATGCATTGCTTTCTTTGTTGTGACTTATTATCAATGGGCCTTTATCATTTTGGCTCTTGTGTTTTTAGGTTGATCAAACATTTATTTTTTAGTAAACAAAGCAGATGAAAAGGCCAGCACCATATCCGGATTCCAATAACCCATATGCTGCTTCTCAAATGCAGCATATGTCTGATCAGGGAATGCCACATAATACAGGAATGAATGACTTTCCTGGACGCACAGACTCTTTTTCTGCCAAGCAAGAGCATCCATATATTTCCTCAAAAACAGAGGGACAATGGCAGCAGGATAGAGATGCACCAAAAGGATCAAATCCAATGATGTCACACATGTACAATGAAGGTATGTATTCCTCTTGTACTTCCTTGTAAATTATATCCTTAGATTTATGGTTTGCCATTACCATTGAATATCTTCTGGCATTGATGTTAGTTTCATGTTCGTTCATGCAATTTCAAAAGTTAAATTTTTTTTTTTTTTGGGTAAATGAATGAATTAAATAAATAGAAAAAAGAGAAATACACAAAGGGCAACAGCCCAAGGAAAGCCCACACAACAAGCAGCCTACAAAAGTGACAAGACAACCCTAACAAAAAGAAGGGCTAAAGCCCTACACAGGGACAACACAACAGCCCTTAGCTAGCAACACAATAATGCACCAGTAGGGACATGCCATCAGCAACAGCAGCTACAGAGAAGAGAAAAACGGAGGAACCATCCATCAAATACTAAGAAGAGTGGAAGACTGAGCTTGTCAAGCTCCAAGAAGCAGCAATAGATCTATTTACTGTGTTGTCCCTCATCTTGGAAGAAAGAAGTGGCAATGAATGACTTCAAAGATGGTTTTCCAATCAGCAACTGATGTAGAGTGATTGCACCTGAAGATATGGTTGTTTCTTTCCCTCCAAATATAGTATATACAACTGGCTAAACACAGCTGGAAAGTGTAAAATGTGATGGACTTACGATTCTAGATTACAGAAGCCCACTGGACGGAAGCCTGGCGAATCATAATGACCAATATAAATTAAAAAGTATGCTGGTAAATCTTCCAAAAAGATGCAGAAAATGTGCAACCGGGAAAGAGGTGGGAGTGAGACTTAGCATTGGATATGCAAAGAGAGCTTATGTTGGGATGATAAAGAAAAACAAGACAATTGCCATCCGTAGTATGGAGTTTCTAACCATTTTCCATCTATAAAACAAAAGAATGAGAAGGCAAATTTTTATGAAACCAAATAAGATGTGACCAAGGAACTAAAGGAGAAGTAGAGGCAATAGAACTAAGAGTGTGCTTAAAATTGAATGAACCATTTGGGGAAAGAAGCCAAAAAACTGAGTCTCAGTTCGGAGAATTAATGGATGGGCGTTGTTGAGAATTTTGAAGGGATGGGATAAGAGTGAAGAAGCTAGAGTGAACTTGCCATTGGTTGTGATGAATCAAAGCACTGACTTTGGCTTGATCCTCCTACAAGAAGTTGGATATAACTGAGCGATCAACCTTCTCATCCATAGGACCTATTGGAAGCCAACATTCATGCTATTGCAAAATGTCTTTGCCATCGCCAACTCGGTGGCGAATAAAGGACGAACTAGACCTGTAAGGTTGAGCAAACGTCTCCAATTCAATGAGGACTGTTGAGGGACTTTAAGAGACCAGAAACTTTTAGATTTAAAAATTATCATGGACCCAGTCAAGTCAAAGGGACTGCATCATCTTTGAATAAATTCCATATATGTCTCACTACAAAAACTTTATTTCACATGTCCAAGTTTGGTTGTCCGAGTCTCCGAGATATCCTTGATCTTTAGGTTTGCAAACCTGATTCCTAGCCACCCTTGCTCCTGTGCTTTTAGGATCAACGCATGTCCAGCAGAATGCTCTGAGCCAAGGTTTGAAATTTTGGTTGAGTCCTGGCGACTCTGCCGAGTCGAAATGGAATAGGCCCGTCGAGATACCGAGTGTGGTTAATATCTTGGTGCGAGTAAAAATTGCACATGAATCGACGAAGAGGAAGCTGTCGTTTGCCTTGTTGTTAACGTTGGAAAACCTTGTTGGAGTGGTCGGCTTGAGGTGAAAAACGATTAAGCTAGAGTTTCTTACTAGCGGTGACAAGACTCGGGAAGGCTCCATTAATTTTTACAAGACGTGCTGATTGCCCAGATATGATCGTAGTCTTTGGGCATTACATTTAAGCCCTTCAACATTCTAATTTTGAAAGAAAATTAAAATATCTGCCCTCATTGTTTCATAATTACAAAAAGAACTTAATTACATTTTGTAAATATAGAATTCCTAATTGAACTAAAAATAATAATTCACATTTGCTATCCGCTTATTATTTTATTAATTTTATGTTATAAATTTGTATTTATTTAAGGTTTAAGTTCATTTTTACTCATTAATTTATTATTAAACATAAATTATTAAAATTTAATAACACCAATGACTTAGAATTCATGTATTGGCTGTTACTTGTAGTAAATGATATTAAGAAATGTAACAAAAATCACTAAATTTAAATTAAAAGAAACTTATATTTATTGTACTATGTTATAAAAGATAGCCTGACACGCTGCTTCAATGGCTCGATATGAAAGACGACCAGCTCCACAACTTTGAGTGCCATATCTTCCAAAACCGAGTTGTGTACCGTCGTCCGGTTTGCAACCCCTACTACATCTGCCTTACAATATTTACTATATTTCGTATGTTTCGGATATAGCACGTCTCCCTTTTTTTTAACTATATGAAATCCACACTTTGACACCCGAGATTCTGTAACAAGTAGATACTTCCGCAGGAGCATTGCATACTAGTAAATTTGGGGCCCTATGTGTGAGGTCAAAAGAAATTCATGACCGTGAATTTTGGTTTTTCTATTCTATGTTGTATTCAGGCCTTCCTTTTCTTGTTTTCCTCCTATTGGAAATTGTTCTTTTCCATTTATTGTGAAGGTATCTTTCTTGAGAAATGATTCTTTTCCATTTATTGTGAAGATACGCCTTCACTCTCTTTCTCTTGTACTGTGTTTCTTTCCTTTAATGCAAGTTCTTTTCATTTAGAGCAATATACAAAGTTACTAAATTATTGTGGTATGTATTAATGAGTAATTCATAAGATATTGAAAAAGGTGATTAAACAAATAAAAAATGAGAATAGTGTCAAAAAATCAATTTGGATCCATGTTGGGATGGTCAACTGTTGAAGCTAATAAATTTTAAGGAGACTAATGGAACAATGTAGAGATAAGAAGAAACATCTTTGCTCCACAACTCCTCTTGTTTGCACTCAAGAGGAGTTGAAAGACGTGATTAAGATCTTTAGAGTAAGGTTGTTAAAATTGCAATTCTGGGTCGTAGAATTGCACAATTCTATGACCCCAGCCCCCAAAATCATTTCAAATCGCAACAAAATTGTGCATTAAGTAGAATCAGGGTAGAATCGTGGAATTGCACGATTCTGTTTGTGACTTAGTATGTTACTCAGTGGGGTCTTCATGATCTACCCTTTGAGCTACATTCTATATTTGGACTTTGGAGTGGTACTTTTATACATTTTTGTGTTTTGGAATTATTCTTGCTATGTTTTAGAGATATAATTGTTTAAGAAGTTAGATTAAATTGTTTTTTTACGAGTTTGGTAGAATCTTATGATTCTCAATCCGATTCTACAAAGTCCCCAACGATCCTACGTAGAATCCTGATCCTAACAACCTAGCTCAGGAGGACTTACACAAGATTATAGGCCGAAAAAAGGCAATGTATTGTCTCAAAGAATCTCACAATGGAGTGGTTTGACAAATTCAATCAGGTGGCATCAGCAAATGGATTGAAGAGCATTCATTTTTTGTCAAACTGGTTCCAATGAAACTGTAGTCCTTGTGGTCAGATGATATTGTGGTTATGGAAGTGATGTTGATGGCATTAGGAACTTGAAGATTTGCTTGAGTAAGCACTTCCACATGACGGATTTGGGAAAACTAGGTGATTATCTGCGTATTGAAATAGCTGGATCGAGGAAAGATATTTCTCTTTCTCAAAGGAAATATGTGAGGGATCATTGGATCTTCTTCCTGATACAGGGATGTTTGGTGCCAACTCTTTTGTAACACCATGATGGATTTTAGTACTTAGTTTAGCATAGACAAGGGTGAAGCTGTGAGGTTCCTAGATAATATAGAAAACTTGTGGATAAAGTTGAATATTTGACTGTAACTGTGCTATAGATTGTTTTGCAGTTGGAGTAATGAGTCAAGGTATGCAGACTGATGCTGTGTCTCATCTCGAGATACTTAAATAGAGCTCTGCATAATGAATTAGTGTTCAAATTATCTGACAACCTTAATATGCCTTCACAGATAATCAGGTGATGTACTTGGCAAAGTAAGTAGCAGTGTAGTGGCTCGGTAAGTGCAGAAGCTGAATACACGGCAATGGCTCATGCAGCATGTGAAATGTTCTGCATAAGGCAGTGTAGTGCCTTCGAAGATGCTGGTAGCTATGCACACTGCTAGTAACCTGGTATTTCATCACTCATGTATACACGAAGTATATTGAGATTGATTACCAAATTTTGAGTGATATGGTTATAAAAGAAACAGATTACAACTTCTTGTAACAGGCTGCATATGATTGAGTGGGAGTGATAGGAATATAATATTTTTAATCTACTGGGTATTGTTAAGAGGCACTTCATCTACTGGGTATTATTAAGAGGCACTTCTGTACCTTCTTACTCTCTTTTCTATGATTATATGTACTCGTATAGGAGTCAGCCCACTTGGCTTAGCCGACTGACATTCACTCATACATTTCTTTCTCTCTCGTAATGACTAATGATAGTGTGGTCATAGAGCACTGGTTAGGTTGAAAAACTTTCAAGTTGGCTGACAAGGCCAAGTGCGCTTGACAATACAGAATTCTGCAAATCAAGAGTATCAGTATGATGAGATGATGGAATATGAGATGAATTTATTTCTAGGATGCTAGAGGAGGACAATCGAGAACAAGATGACAAAAAGTTATGTACTTGTCAAAGAAAAAAAAAAAAAAAGATGACAAAAAGATATGTAAGATGGCTGAACCATGTGCCCTGAAGATGAGCAACGAAGCCTACGAGAAAGATTCACCTGGTTCAAATCAAGTGAGCTATAAGGAAAATGAGGGAAACAGAAGAGTAGAATGCAGGTCAGGGCAGTAGCATAAAATGATAGCTTATTGTCACGGACAGGTGCGGAGCCAGGATTTTGAGGTTAGGGGGGCCAAAATTATAAACAACATTACCTACCTAGAACTTTGGAAAAAAATATATATATTACGTAGGCAAAAATATTTTATTATTTATTATATTCATACAAAAATATATCTATTTAAACTTTTTTCAATTTATTTAAATAAAAAAAACTAGTTATTTAAAAAAAAAATTTATCAAACTTTCTGAACAAACACAAATAAGATTTATGCCAAAATGATAAAAAAATTCAATCAAATAACTCTCTTTATTTACCGAAAAGGAAAAAAAAACAAAAATAACTTTAAAAAAAATGTAACAATTGAAAATTTAACAAAACAATAACAATGATAAAAAATAAAAAAAAAACACAAACAAATTAATAAAATAAAAATTTAGATTCGTAAATCATCGATTTTTGTTGATATTTAAAACTTCAAATGAAATTTTTGTTCTTGATTTTGTAAAAATTAATTTCTTATAAAATTCTTATAAAAGCATTTCAATAAAAATGAATAAAAAGAAAAAAAAAAAAAAAAAGTGATGGAAAGAATCATGTATGAGATGAAATTTTAGAATAATAAGGTTATGGAAAGAATCGTGCTTGTCACATTATGGAAAAAACGATATTTGAGTTGAAACTTTAAGATAGACACATTAAATTTTTATCGGGATTCTATAGTTGTTAATTAAATCACTATATAAACTATCTTTTGTTAAATTCTAATTAAAGAAATAATTTTTTTTTCTTAGGGGGGGCCAAGTATAAATTTTATACTATATATACTATATATTTTATTTTTACCTATACTAAAAAAAAATTTCAAAAAATTAGGGGGGGCCATGGCCTACTCAATGCACATCAGACATGGGACTCTTGGAACATGTCTGATGTACATTGAGTAGCCCTGAGCTTCTTAAATGAGTTTGGGAATTCCCAATTGTCACTGGTCCTTTTGGGTGTGGAACCTGCCCGTCATGACATTATGCTTTAGTGGAAAATACGGCCCTAGATAAAGCAGCTTGGTGAAAGGATTCACGTAGCCAACTTGATGCCTTGTGAATGGAGTCTGAAATGAACGAGTATTTTCATTCCTAACTAATAGAAAATGAGCTTTTGATAATTTAGAAGCATGCATTTGGTGGTGCTATTTCGGAAATGTATATTTTTTGAAGCACAAATTTGGAAAGTATGGAAATTAAAAAATTATGAAGCAAAAACAACTCAGTTCAGATGTGCTCTGGAAGTGTGTTATTTTGCTTTTGGCGCATGGCAGCAGGCTTACTCCCCTTTAAAGCTTCTAATAATTATGTGAATTTGTAATATTTGGCATGCCGAATTTTTTATTAGGATGTGAAATATTTACAACTATTTGGATTTCAAACTGTCTTGATAATCTTATTTGTATGTCCTTTTAGCCAGACAGCTACCTTGAACTATTTATTGCGAGTGATGTGTGTATGTGTGTGTGTGGTGTGTTTTAACATCTTGTTATTGAGCAGGTCAAAGAGGCAATGCGACTAGACCCTTTCACCAGGGACAGATGCTGGATGCAAAAGTGGAATTAGAGATACAAGGCAACAAAGAACCCAGACTCCAGTCCCATGAGCAAGACATGGAAATTGGTTATGAGGACAAACCTTTGCCATTGACTTTTGAAAATCTTGAGCAGAAATTCCAGGGTGAAGTTATGAAACTGATGAAGGAACAGTGGGATGCAGAAGATGCAGAAAATGCGAGGCACAGGGAGGTCGGTGAATAGTATAATAATTGCTTTTCCTTGACTGACACGTGTCATTTTCTTATCCATGATTTGTTTATGATGAAACCTTGCTCACATAAAATGGATAAGATAATTTCCAACAGGATGAACATGCTGTCACTGCCTGAAAGTTCAAATTCCCACACGGGACATGGTTTGGAAATATAGAATGCAAAACACAAATTTTCTCCTCCCCTTCTTTTCCTCCTCCTTCCCTTCCATAGAAATAGATGAAAGAAAAGGAAGTAGTGAGAAACTCAATTTCAAGGTGAGCTGATCTTCCAATTCCCGAATTTTCTAATGTTCTTTTCCTTATGTTTTTCAGAAAATAATAGAGATTAATACCCGATACCAGGAGAAACTATCATCACTCCGAGCCAAACAAGCCAATCGTGGAGAAGAGTTTCTGCACAAGGAATTACAGGCACGACGACACCAATATCAGCAAGCTGAAATGGACCACCACCTGACCAACACAGCCCCAAGGGACCCTTATGGTTATGGTGGAGCTGCAGCGGCAGAAGCACAAGCGCATCGAGCGTATTCTGCCGATCGATTTGAGCCCTATAGAGAGCAAACACAATTTCTTGGGGCTGGGATAAGTCAAGGAACTGAGGGAAGGGTTCCATACCCCCACGGACGTGTTTACAACAATGCTGGTGCTCGCTATCGATAATGGCCATCTCCACAACAATACTGGTCCCTGTGCTTGCTATCAGACACTAGTGTGAAATCCTATCCCTTGGTCAGACCAATTTACTGATTTCATCTTTGGCTTTAGTTGATGTTCTTGTTCCAGTATGCGGTGTTTAAATGTGAAATAGGGAAACATCGTCTTTTCATCGACTAGATATGAAGCAGTCAACTAAATATGAATCATCAGTTTCAAAACTGGCTGTAAATGGCCATGATATAGTTCCTCCTTGGATTTTTAGGAACCTCTCTCTCATGAACCCCCTTTCTGTTGCCTAGTCGATTTTTTCGTGTTGAAGTTGCGCAAGTCTTTTCAACCCATGAGATGGAATTGGTGGTCAGTGAGATCAGATATTTCTTAACAGTAGATTTTTCAGTGTATGATACGATTCTGTATCTTTTTATGGTGGCATGTAATTTCATGAGTCATGACAATACACAGAATATATATATATAATTAGGATCCTAAATCTTATGGTGGCATGTATTTCATGAGTCACAAGTCTTGGCAGTACACAGGTATATTAGTTGAAGTGTTGGTTTCTTTGCTCTCTACTCGTTATTTGTTACCCTTTCTTAGGCTGAAATCTGAAGTAACGCCTTTGATTTCTACAAAAAATTCAAAAATAAAGAGGTGAGATTTAAATAATGTACAAGTTGGTTTTATATGCTAGCACTCACTGTTAGTGTGTACGTACAAATAACTCATCATTTTGTGCTGGAGTTTAGTGATTTTACTATTGCATAGAGAGAGAATGAGAACTTACTTTAAGCCATTCCTTGTTAATTTACCCAACCATATGCTCTCAAGTGTAATATAGAGTATATATGGTTGAATGAAAAGGATTAAAGAAGTTCAAAGGCAATTAACATATATATATATATTGGTTAGAATTTAAGAGCTAAACTCCAATTTTCTCAAATTGTACTGGTGAAAGCTTCATAACTATATGTTTATCCGTTTATAACTTGCAGCAACTGCAATGGGAACGAGTGTGGGTCTTCATGCAACTGTAGGACTGCTTGATTGTAACATGGAGGCCTTGATGCAACGTTAGGACTGCTCGATTGTAACATGAAGGCTACATTTTTTAAACTGAAAACAGCCTCTTCGTAGAGTCTACCTCCATAGTGAGTAGCATTTATTGCAAATATTTAATTATATCCTTCTCTTTCTTTTTCTCGTGGTTGTTTAATCAATTTTTCTCTCCATACACCATTTACAAGTAAATATTAGTTTAAAAAAAGTACCAACCATTTGCGCATACCTACAGACTAGTGCACATGTTGCATTCCTACACCAACAGTAAGTTCAGAAACTGTTCTAAGTTGCACCAGAGGCCCTTAAAAAAATCTCCAAAGCTGTCATGTTTTTAGAGAAGCAAATTAAATAGCAAAACAAGATCAAGTTGAAGGTTTGCTCGACAGAATAAAAAATCCAAGGCTATATAATTTGAAGCTAACAAATAACAAATAGTAAAGTAGTTCTCAGGAAAAACATAATATTATTTCACAGTGATATAGCAACGTAACTAACCAATGACTCTACTGATCATGTAGAAAATTTAGAGTCTACCCGTTGTGATATATGCAACCCCAATATGTACCGTAGAAAACATCATATTGGAATCAAGATTGCAAGACTCAGTCTGATTTCACCAGATTGCCGACAAATATTGACAGGCACAACAGAACAAGTTGGTACTAGAAACTGTGCATATGCCCAAATAATGCACAACTATGATGTCTATACTTCCAAATGAGAGCACCAAAATGTAATGCAACGAACAAACTCACCGTGAGGTGATATGTCAGTCGGTACAACAACATTTACCACAGTTGCAACATGTGAGAGCATCATTTGAAGAAAAATGCAAAATCAATGGTTAAATGTAGACCGAAAAAGGCAACTTTGTCCATCTCTGACATATCGCAGAGACCCATGGCAGAAACGGCTCAATATATCAACTATGTTGGCGTCCCAATCCAAGTGCGAAAACCAATTTTTACTCCCTTTTCATATGATGAGATACCATAATTATAAAGACTAAAATGATCCTACAATACCATTATAATGCCTGTGTAAACTTCAAAAGAATCAGTTAAGACAACAGTCACCAAGGATTCCATGTCCTGCCAATTTTGAGTGACATTATTTCATTATTTCCAGCAACAACATCAGGCAACTAAAATAGATAGTTAAATAAAGTAACAGTTACTGGCAGGGCCTACTTTGGTCATAAATGAAATACACCACTATCAAGCGAGGAACATCATGGAGATTATTATAATCATTCCAACAGCATACCACCAATATATGTTACTTCACTACCACAAAATGGAACTGGAAACATAAACTGACAATTCAATCATGAAAATACGAAGGTGATAGATGTGCGTCCTCAGAGAGTAGGGCAAATAAAACACAAGAACGAATACAATCAGCAGAAATGTTTCTAAAAAAGATTCATATAATTTCTTCTTATGTTACACACAAAAAAGTACATGAAACAGGGTCAATAGTACAATTACCCAACACAACCCTATGAAGTATTGCAACAACTAGTAATACAGTACAAAAACATCAATGGGTTCCCTACAAAGACATCCAAAATTGTGACATTTTATGCCTCCATTACAAGGAAAATTTGCTGGTAAAATGAAAATTTGTGGAGGAGCAAACAGAATTACCGAATTTCCAAGGCCGGAAGAACCTGATGTACATTTGCCAGCACAACGAATTTCCAAGTGGCTGACAGAAACAGCGAAATCTGGCTGCTAATTTCTCATCAAATACAATTTTCACATATACCAATATTACCATGGCCTCTGCCAAGGAAACCAGTTACTGTGAGGTTCAATGTCTTCACTTCTTCCTAGGATTGCGTTTAACTCTCACCATCCTTCGATTAGACTTATCACCAGTGCCCAACGAGAAACTCCCTCCAGCACTGAAATCTAAACTTCCAGATGCCTGAAACTGAGCTGGACTCTGCGGAGTAGCTTGATTCTGTTGACCACCAAATGGAAAAGGAGGTGTTGCTGATGGGGTTGATGAACCAAACACGAGGCCAGATGGAGGTGAGACGGGTGGTTGACCAAATACTGGCACTGCAGGTGTGGATGCCTGTACAGGGTCCTCAGACATGCTGTCCTCCATGTTCATCTGATCACTATTACCAGAGACAGCTGTGAAGACTGAACTATTGTTACCAAACACAGGCTGCGTTTGGGAGAAGGATGTCAAAAAAGAGGTATTAGAAGCAGCTGTGGTGAAAGAGAAAATGGAACCTGACGACGCACCAATAGATGATCCAAATGCCATCGAGGGCGCAGTGTCTGTGGCAGCAACAGAAGCTGGGGATGCTCCAAAGGGGAATCCAGTTGATGGAGGAGGAGGATTATATAGAGAATTGCTAGAGGATGCTCCGAAGATGGGAGACTTGATGGGCTGCCAACCGGAACCAAACAAGCTGGATGTAGCACCACTACTAGAGCTGGCCTCGGAAGATGTAGCTGCAGAGCTCAGACCAAAACTATTGCCTGAACTGAACAGTTTAGCAGCAGAAGATGAAGAACTGAATAGAGTACTTGAGGTGAAAGTAGTAGGTCCAGTGGAGCCAAATACTGGAGACGGGGCAGATGACCCAAATTGAACAGGCATGGTCTGTGTAGCAGTTGCAACACCAGTTCCAGCAGAAGATGCCTGTGCACCACCCAGAGATCGATTGCCATTTCCAAAAGGAGAATCCAGAGGCAGATTTTTTGCAGTTGAAGAAGTGGCCGGAGCACTGAATCCAAAAATGCTACTTCCAGTGCTTGTTAATGTCATTGCACTAGATGTGCCACCAGAAGATGCCTGTGCACCACCCAGAGATCCATCACCATTGCCAAAAGGAGAACCCTGAGGCTGATTTTTTGCAGTTGAAAAAGTGGCCGGAGCACTGAATCCAAAAATGCTACTCCCAGGGCTTATTGCATTAGATGTGGTACCAAAAGGTGAGCTGGTTAGATTGGCAAAGGCTGTATCCTCTGTATTCGCTTTTAAATTGATATTTTGCACACAAGAAGTTGATACTGCTGCAATTGATGTTGACGGAGCAACAGATCCGAAAATGGGTGTGGCAGAAAATGAAGGGGCTGCAGCCGAGCTAGTGAGACTGCTACTGGAGGCAGTAGTAGTGGCGGCAATGCTAGTGGAATTCATGACAACGGTGGTGGTGGAAGACGTGAAATTTTGAACTGGGGCTGCAGAAGAGAATATTGAGGGGCTTGAAGCAAGTAATCCATTATTTAGCCATGAATTATTGGCAGGGGCACCGAAGGAGAAAATGCTGCTTGTTGACGATGAATTCGATAAAGCAGAAGAAAATACTTTACCAGATTTTCCTGTTAAGTCTCCAGCATTCCGAGTATTCTTATCATCAAAATTTTCAGCCTCAGAAGTTTCTGAGACAGCATCAGTTGCACCAGAGGCAACATTGAGAAAGCTGCACATACATTAAGGAAAATCAGAAAATGCTCTAATTAATTAAAAATTAGACAATGAAACCAAAAAAAAATTTGGAGACCATATTTATCTTTTCCCCCTATTTTCCCCTTAGTATGGCTGTATTAAAAATAAATGGCTGGATCTTGTCCACTTCATGCGGAGATATCTCAGGCAACTGGAACAGACTACCATCCAGCCGACCAGAACACAAGATTTTGGAATAGTAAACAAAACCACCAATAATCATCATCAATCCCTCCATATATCACACATACATCCACTTTTTTCTTTTCCTAACAATATCATAAGGGTTACTGCATATCTAGCTTCATTGCTTCCACTTTTACCAAAAATCCGAAAAAAGGTACTAGCATATGTAACTAGGCACATTTAGACAATCATACTTATTTAATCAATGTATGTACTTGCAGCTTTCAACTGCAATTGAATTCTATAAATGCATTTAGTTTCAACATGTCTTCATACACAGTACCGTAGCACACCAGATTAAGTAATTTCTTCTGTCTCTTGGTTGAAGAGGATATTATATATATATATATATATATATATATATATATATATATATTGATAAGTAGTTGAAGAGATTAAAAAAAGCAAAAGAAAAGGAAAGTAAGGAAATGTATAAAAGATTATGAATGCTTTCTTAAAATCCCAGCATGCTCCAAAAAACATCTTACACGGTCTGAGTTTTTTTCTACACACATGAAGATTAAATATCACTCTTTCCTGAAAAAAGAGTGTACACATACCGTATGGATAAACAGTATTCACTTATAGGCAAGGTAGTTAGAATCGGGATTCTAAATAGGATCGACAAGGGGTCCATAGGATTGGAATCAAAGAATTGGATCGAGAATCGTAAGATTCTATAAAAATATTTAAAAAGTAACTCAAACTAACTTTTTAAATCAAATATTTTTTACACAAGGCTAAATAACCAATTCAGACACTAGCAAAATTAATTAACATTAAAAGATACTAAGACACGTGACAAACTTTAAATCAGTTTCTTGATTTCAACAAAAAATCAGCATAACAATGAAGTAAAATCTCAAGAGGAAAAATTAAAGTAAAGCCTAATAGAGAGAGAAAAGTACAATTTAGTTGAAAAGTATACTTTTTGGATTAACAAAAAAAAAGGAACAAAATAGAGATAGAAAGAACGGCGGAAAAAAAAAATGAAGTCTTTCTTTATTTTTGTTTCAGAATTGACAAAGAGTAGGTGGAAAAATAAAATTCTTTTTGTTCCTTGTACTGAAAAAGAAATAAGAAAAGACAAATTAAGAAGAAAAAAAACAAAATAGAGGAATTTTTTAAAATTTTGAACAATACCTTTGAAATTAAGAGTTGAACGTCTCTACATTTGACGTTTGCTTTTTGATTTTTTTTTTTTTTTTTTACTTGTCGAAAAAATCAAAATTTTAATGTAATTAGGCTAAAGAGTTGGATTTTATATTTAAAATGATTAAATCTATTAGTCCAAAATTAATTGTAGGCCCAAATAAATTCGGAAGAAGAACAAATTAACACAATTTAGTAGAATCAGTAGGATCGTAAGATCCTATGCGATTCTACAATCCTACTTCAGATTCTACAGATCCTAGTGAGATTCTACTTCCCAAAGATTTTGGATGGGATCGGAATCGGGATCGGGATCGTTTTTGCAATGTGGGATTGTAGAATCGTAAGATTCAAAGATCCAGGATTGGGATTTTAACAACTATGCTTATAGGAAATATAAGTGTTAATAACCATATAATTCAAATCACAAGGTTTGGACACATCCAAAATGCAAGGTCACAGTTTGGCATATTGTCGAACATTAGTAGGTATAAAACATCCTACATGATCTGAGTTTTTTTCTACACACTAAGGTTAAATATCACTCTTTCCTGAAAAAAGAGTGTGCACGGTACACATGCATATAAAGAGTTTGCACAGTACGTATGCATAAACAGTATTCACTTATAGGAAATATAAGTGTTCATAACCATATATTTCAAATCACAAGGTTTGGACAAATCCAAAATGCAAGGTCACAGTTTTGACATATTGTCAAACACTGGTAGGTATTGTGTGAACAGATTGTACTGCAGCACCAATGGCCCAAGACTTTTGGTAACCTCTTCAAAGATTTGTTTGGTTCTGCCAAGAACAATTACTATTCTTTTCAACGGATAGTCTACTAAATTAACAAAATGGTAAATTCACTTTAATTGAAGGGCCCCTTCTTCAGTGTACGGTGTTTTGGAAGGGAGGAATGGAGTATTATTGTATGAGTGGAGTTTTCATCTCACCAATTGTATACTAAATATTTGTTGTTACTATATATATATATGCAGGTCAAGAGAGCTTTAAAAGGTAAGTTAGGTAACTTCTATTAAATTTCGCGAATAAGTGCATCTCTTCAATTTGTGGTTTCCTGCGTTTCAGTTAATTTTCATCTCACAAATTGAATACTAAAATATTTTTTTGATGTATATATGCAGGTCAAGAGAGCCTCAAAGGGTAACTTTACTTGGTTCTTCGGAATAAATGCAGCTCTGATCAATATGCGGTTTCCTGCATTTTGGTTTTTTATTTTTCATTCAAAATCTAAGTTCTTCCCTACTGCTCAATATGCATCGACTTATAACACATTTGAAGCAATAAAAGCCAAAATAAATGTTCAAATCATCATAAATGATATTATGAGAAGAAAGAACACTGACCCATTCGAGCCTTCTGGTTTTGGGTCCAACAAAGCACTATATTTGAGGTCTGAAGATTCACTAGCAGGAGATGAAAAAGGAATTTCGAATGGTGGAACTTTATCAACATTTTTAGAACCAAAACTAACCAAGGGAGGAGGAACACTTGCTTCTTTTAATGGAACAATTTTATCAACTCCTGAAGTTAATTGTGGAGTAAGCAAAGTTTGCTGGAGAGTCGAGCTGGGAGCAACTGTAGGGGGGAAGGTATAGACGAAGCTTTTCTCACCCGCCACAGACCCATTATTAGTCTCCAAACCAGTTCTTTGGCTGAATTCAGAACCTGCAGGAGGCTTGAATTCACATGAAGCTGATATTTTGTCTGCTGCTTCGGTTTCAGTACCAACGGCCTCGCTTTCCACAACAGATGTCTTCAGTTTTTCTCTCCCTTTCAATGGTCTAGAGGTGCCACCATTAGAATGTACATCATAATCCAGCTCCAGAGAATCCTTCATAAAAGAACCGTAAAATTAGATTTTGTAGCACATTCACAAGAACATTAAATAGAACAAGGAATAAATATTACACATCAAATAATACAGTCTTCTCTAAATCAAACCAAGAAAAACAGCCGACAGACTTGGAAGATATTGCCATTTGAAGGCATCAGCAAGGACTAGAAAGCCAGTCATATGCTGACTAACTCAAGTGAAAGGATTATCAACCCAGCCACATTTCACATCCTTTCTAGAAACGAGGAAACTTTTTTTTTTCAGACTACAGCAACTCCAACCGATAGAAAGGACCAACCAAATAGTCAATAGAACCTCGATTACATTTATACAAAGTGTAAGGGTGAGAAACAAGGACTACAAAAATCATAAAAATATATATGTAAGTAAAAAATAAGTACATTAGAACTGCAAGCCAAGTAGAAGACAAAGACAGAAAATTGTCCAAGGGGAACTATCAGAGTACATGACCAACAAACCTCATGCGCACTCATCTGAAAAGCCCGTTTCTTTTGTGGAGGTAAGGCGACAAAATTTGCAGTTGCAGGACCTGTATTTTTAAAACTGGGTACAGCATCTTTAACTAGAACTGTAGCATCCACACTATTTACTGCAGGAGTTAACATGTCAGAAGGAATGCGCAATGCTTTTGGGTCATTTTCTTCAATTTTGTCTTGCTTTTGAGAAGAAGAGTCCCGAGCATCAGGTAAACTGGTGGTGTGTGAATCCTCCAACTTACGACCATCTTTGGCATTCTGAAGAAACCTTGATGCATCAACATCTTCCGGGCTTCTAAAAGCCTTTCCACTTGGTTTCAACTTAGTGGGTGATTTATCCCTTTCAGCAGCTAGCCTGGCCTCGGATGATTTCTCCTTCGGGCTCAACTTTTCAAGCTGCTGCAATATTTTTGTAGCCATCTCAGTAGATTTAGAAGGAACATGGGTAAAACTTGTACTACGAACGCTGTTATCCCCATATTCTCCTAGCATTGTTGAAACTTTATGATTAGGTTCATCCAATAAAAGCAGTTTTTTTGTTGACCATGAAGGACGTTCAGCCGTATCAGAACTGACTCCCACTGGACCTCCAGACACTGGTATGCTCAGATTCCTAGGATAGAGAAGATTAGTCTTTTGTCGAATTCTGCGTATGGGACCAACAGATCCAATATCATTATCTAAGACAGAACTTCTACGCTTATGTGCCTGCATAACATATATAATTAAAAAAGAATTAATAATATAATAATGGTGAAATTCAGGGGGAAAACCTCAACCATCTCCCACACATACCACTTGTTTAGATCCAACATATCCATCTTGCTCCCATGCATACTGAGATGATGACGATGGTTCACCAAAACCATCACTTATTGACTTGACACCCTGGGATTGGAGCAAAATATTAGAAAATTTATAATATTGGGCAAGCAATAGAAGGATTGCTGGAGAAAATAAACCTTTTGGTTAGCAGTGGAATAAACCCTGGAATACGGTGTCCGCGCCATATTGTATATTGCAGATCTGCCACGAGACCTTGGGGTGATAAACCCATTTTCAGTGACCCCAAGACGTAAAGCAGATTTTGGAGCCAGAGACATGATGGATGATTTTGGAGAAAATTGTATACTATTTAGCAAAGTTGCATCTTCCCTTGGTGCTTGACTGCGCAAAGCTAACATTGGCGTTGTTGCTTTTGAAGGCCTACTTCCCATGTAAGCTTTTGCAAGCTCAGCAGGTGAAGCAACATCCTCTTCAAGGACCTGAAGACATTTTAATCTCATAAATGTGAAAAATAGTGCCATTACTGGCAAAATATATTTACCATTATTAGAATGCACGTAAAACTGAGGAACTGCTCACTAAAGTATCAATCAAAATTACAAAAAAGTGAGCGTCTCATCTTACTCTTGAACTGACAATAGGAGTAGAAAGGCCTCCATGTAATCGACAGTTCTCAGTCCCAGTTTTTAGCATTGGACTATTTGCAAATTCGCCCTTCCTCTCAAAAGCAGATGGTGGCTTTGGAAGATTTGCTTCAGTCTTTCTGTTCTCGTTCCCCACAGGTAAATCAACAGATCTTGAATGCAACAGTTCTGTCAAACGATCAATCTCAGATCTGTACATAACGATTCATATCAGAAATAGTGCAGAAATTCACAGACATGCAGACATTGAGACCTTCGATTGTTAGAAGCAAACATTAACAGCCATCAAATTCATAAATCTAGTTAAGAGCTCAAGGAAAATGACAAGCTGCCCAAAGGAATACAACAGGTTCAAGGGTTAATTAATTGTCAGGGAACAGATTAGCTATAATAAAATAGAAATGTTCGAGACAGCAATATTACATAATCCTTGATTACCAGGAAAAAAAAATACATAATCCTTATCTGCTATTCAAGCTTGCAATTTGGTGAGTACAGGGGGGAGTCTCCAACTTTGAAGGTAGCAAACTGAAGACTACAGAATATAACTCCCTTTGGTTCATTTTCAATTCCAACACTTTCAATACTTGCTATTTCATGGGTCCAATACCCATTCCAATAGGTTCAGCACAGTTGGATGGCATACCCAATACTAGGTAGAATTTCATAACTATATGCAGAAGAGATTGCAGCCCACAAAACGGTCCAGGTATAACAATAAACGCACAAGTGCATGAACAAGCAGAAACATTTTGTCTACACAAAATTGGGAAAATATCACATTATAGATAGCTTATCTAAACCATGAGTTGGAAACTGCGAACATGCCACAAGTGCATGTGCATGTGTGCAATATATAGCAACACCAAGTATACAATCAGTTCTTGACCATGTTAAAAAACCATTAGGCGTCAACTCAAAACTCCACATTATTCAAAAGACTGGCAGAACCATCAGTACTTGAAGTAAGAAGTTCCAATAAAAAGTCACATTTTTATGTACATATGTACATACAAATACAGATGGACACAAAAGCACACAAGAAAAAGGTATACTGAATATCAAGCAAATAAAGAAGTACCTTGTAAATGTCTTCTGCCTTAACATTTCCTCAAGTTCAGAAATTCTGCTACTGTTAGAGTTATTACTTAAATTGCCGCCATTGTTTACGGCTGATTCTTGAGCCCCAAGAGGATTCTTCACACAAAAATTGTACAAATCAGATATATATCAGAACAACAAGAGTATGATAATATCGTATCAGACAAAACAAAACTATTGCACAAAAAAGAGGCGCTAAAAATCCTTGGTTGTTGCACATAAATGGCGTTGAAGCTAACATCCATCAACAAATGACAAGAACACCTAAGGGCCTTTTTGTAGCGCAAATAGTTTGCCCTTATACCTTATTAAATAAACTTAAAGAGGAACCATATCCAACGTCCAAGATTCACATGTCAAATGTTGGAGAGTAGTCCAAGAACTGTCCTCGGGGTATTGAAAAATACACATTTTATTAGAGATAAGAAGACATCCAATATTTGTCAAATATATGTCCACAAATATCCCAGGAGAATAGTTCTCTAGCGAAGAATGTCCAAGAAGCTTACTTAGAAACATCAAATGAATATTAAGAACTAAGTTAAGGTCATAAAATACACAAGACTTGCAACTCGAATTTATGAAGAATGTGTATAAATATATATAATGGAAATGGGGTGTAAACAAAACTAAATGAATAACAAATTAGTTATTTATACAATTATAAACATGCTTAATAACAAGAAAGTAGAATTACATAGATAGAAATACCCACACCAAAACAATTGCCTCAAAGGTAGCACCAGAATGTAAAAATTCAAACTACTTAACTCACCTGAAGCGTGTCCCTTGATTCTTGGTTTGGCCCTGGTTACATCATAAATTACAATAATAAGTTTAAAATCATGGAAATAATACTTTGCATTTAAATCATGAGCGATATATAACCCAAAGGCCAATCAGTATATTGAGCTAATGAACAGTGACAAAAGAGTCTAAAAGAAATACAAGAACTAGCAACTTATTAAGAAGTAAAAGCAATGTACTTATCAAAAATATGAAATAAAAGCAATGATTGCTTAAGGAATGAAGTCACACAAACACACACAAAACAAGAATGATTCCATATCAAGACAAGAATGATTCCATATCAAGATCATTATTAAGTATGATACAGATCAGATACTATGACAGAATGACAATAGAAAACGCTCTTTAAATAAGGGGGAAAATGAGATCCTTTCAATCCTTAAAAGTAAATTACATTAATCAGATATGCAATTTCATAGACAAGTTTCCCCAAGAGTTAACAATCAAGTTAAATACATTTTTTGTGAAGTTCCTAACAAATGTCATTGGCAAATTTCAGTAACAGATTATAAGCAATATATATTATGTTTGTACCAAACAGAAAATTAATTATCAGCCAGCAGATGTATATAAATGTATAATGACTTTTCAGGAAGAAAAAAATAGCGACTGCTATTACCGTACATCATCTATGTACACCATGGTTTTCTGCCACTGCCAGTATATAAGAGTTGCATCCTATAGGGAAATATACACATGTGACAGAGTGGTCAAAACAAACAAATGGTTGAACCATGTATTTGCTTTGCAAATTTTGCACAATTAGCAACACAAGTTTAATATATATTTTCTAAAAAGAATTCTAGAATATAATCACGTGCTATGTTACATGAACTCCCATGTTCCCTCCAATGTACCCCTGTCAATATAATACTCCACATTTATAAGTACAAACAAGCCGAGATGGGACAATCTATTCCTCTACAATTGTCTTTCCATGGGAGAGACTGAGAGATAGAAAACACTTCTCTTCTATCAAATTTGAGCCTTATTACCAACAAGCCTATGGCCTAGCGGTACCAGGCCCCTACTTCCCAAAGGTAGGTCAGGGGTTCGAACCTCAGTGGAAGCATGTGTGTGTGAGTACCAACTAAGAAAGAAAAAAAAAATTGATCCTTATTCTTCTTTTTACTCATATGCTTACCTAAATTTAGGACGCATTTTAGGTGTAGCCCTCATATCCTATGAATTGGAATTATCTTCCAAAAAGAATTCTAGAATAAAATCACATGCTATGTTACATTAACTCTCATGTTCCCTCCAAGGTACCCGTGTCGGTAAAATACTCCACAGTTATCAGTACAAAAATGTGTCCTACGAACAAGCCCAGATGGGAAATTCTACTCCTCGACACATGTCTTCCCATGTGAGAGGTAGGAAACACTTCTCTTCTATCAAATTTGAGACCTTTCTTCTTTTTACTCGTATGCATACCTAACTTAAGGACGCATTTTAGGTGGAGCCCTCATATCCTGAGGATAGGAATTCAAAAACAAATCCACATCAGATACATATGCCTAAGTCCATGTAACATATAACACTTGAGGATTTCCATTGCGATTACCTTTAAACAAAGGGAGACAGTTGAAACCGCCAAGTAATTTTTTTCCAAATCTACAGCCTGTATATGGCTTCACATGCTATAATAAAATTCCCTTCTGTTTTCCAAACCAAACTCAAAGATTATTTATTTTATGAAATTGCAGTATTGAATTATCTAATTCCCAAATCAAATTTTGAAAAGAGGTGGAAAGATGTTATTTATAAAGATTACTAGCTAAGGAAATGAATCACAAGGTGAAGAGCAAACTGTGTTGGAGTATGGATGTATAGATCGTCAGCGGCAGTCTTCAAGAAAAAAAAAACTTGACAAAAGTATAGATTAAAAGAAACTAAGGGATTCTATAGAGTTAGAATTTGTAAAATAGGATTTTAACCTCTCTTTTGGAGGGATTAATTTGCTCGGCCCAAGCTCCAGTGTTTTTCCCTATACGGTTTTCCACATAAATCATCTATCTTTGTGTATTGTTTTGGTTTAGTTAAATCCTACACTCTAGCCTTAAACTAATGAGTAAATCCTATTCTCTATATAATATGATTTTTATTGACACATTGAAATATAACAATTAAATTCAAATATTAGTTAACAGTAGTGGTTGGGAATGTTTCACGCTTTCAGTCGAGCTGAGGCTGTGCGCACTCTACATATCAGAGCCTGGGGTAAATATCCTCTCCTTCGACAAGTATCAAGCATATAAAATTATACATCCTTCAATTGGTATCAGAGTATATCAATTGTAGATGGCTCAACGTGGACATAATGGAACTGGAGGTCATCTAACCTACTACAGAGCATAACAACCATTAAGGTGATGTAATTGCCCCGTAATGATCTATAACAGAAACATTTTAAACCTGATCTTTCAAATTTAATTTTTGGGGATTGGGATGATATTGGAACACCATATAACCATAAATCTACCCTCCAAAACAATAATTTACAATATATGAGGTACAAAAGTGTAAGCAATTTAAATGAAAATCAATAAAAATTAATCAAGTGTGGCTATATTTGAAGGTGCAGAGCAGCAAAGATTCCAGTGGTTTTGAAAATTCCCACACAATAATTACATGTACAACTCAATCACAAGGACTCCAGGAACATAAAAATAAAAAATAAAAATAAGCCGAGCAACCAGAAACACTAATTATACATCTGCAATCTAAATGATAAAATTTTTTTTCGAAAATGGTAAAATGGAAAAGCAAGAAATAGAATATGTCCATTTATAGAACTTCCTCATTGACCTGCTCTACCATTTTGAGTATTGAACTAAAGCAGAATATATGCCCTCCCCCCTATTTACAACACACTTCCTGAAACAAAACACTGTACCTTAAATAACAGACCGCACTTGGAACCCTAGTCCCTCGCAACTGAAAATTTATGCTGAAATTCCTAACAGAAATAATTTCTCATTAATTTTAGACTACAATGCCATATAAGTGCTGACCTAAACAAAACAATGTCTTTCCACACCTTTACAGCAAATTCCAAATCAAAGAAATCCAATAAACCCTATAACAAAAGGCACCCAATTTTAGAAACCCTAATGCCTCAACGATCTCTAAAAAGTGTTGCAAACTCGAATAAAATGATCTCAAAAACAGTAAACAAAATAAAAAAGAAAAACAGAAACAATACACAGAAAAGATATTCATAAAGGTAGCTTCCTGATTGATCTAGAGAGTAATATGATTTTATCAAAACTACCCAAAATTCGAACAAAGGGTCATTCTACCTAATACCAACTCAATTCCGCAATCAATTAACCTTGAAATATTGAAAAATCTGAAAGAGCAAATTAATACACAAAACACACACAAACATGTGCATATATATAAGAATCGAACCTGGTGAGGGTTGGGGAGGAGGGAGGAGGCGCTTGCGGAACACGGAGGAGAAGAACATTTGAGCGCTAGCGGAAATGAGTTTGGAGGCTGGGTCGACGAGTTTCGAGAGCCAACCGTCTCTAGGGTTTCCGAGGGCGGTCGGCGGCCGATCGTACGGCGTCGTCTGGGGTCTCCGTAACGGCCTTTTCCGGAACTTGCCGCCCGCTCCTCCGCCACCTCCGTAGGAGGAAGTTCCTTCCCCCGCCGCCGCCATGGAAAGCCGAGCAATGAATCTTAGAGAGAGAGAGTGAACGGTGGGAGAGAAGGCAGGGCACTGCAAAATAGGGTTTTTATTGCACACGCAGACACAGAAAGCGAAATAGAAAATTGTCAAAAAAATAAAACGAAATGAGGAGTGTCTAGAGAGAGAGATGATATTTGAGAGAGAGATATTGAATTTAATTCTCAAGTGGATTGTTTATTTGAATATTTTTAGTTACTTCGAAGAGAGGCTAAAGTAACAAGAAAATCATATTAAAGAAAAACAGGCAAACCCCTCACCGCAATTTTACTGAAAAGTGAATTTTCACTTGAAATCAACGTAAAAAGTGTACCTTTCTGTCAGATGTGTTGGTCTGATTATACTGTCATGCTCGCACTTTAACCGTACATGATGTGTTTTATTGGTAAACTTCCAAGCGGGGTTAAAATTTTGATTTTATGTAACTTTGGATTAAAATTTTATTTAGGCTTTGTTTCATAGTAAAATATTTTATAAAAATTATTTTTCCTATTTTCTATGTTTGGGAGATTCTAAAGTTATGAATTTTTTATGTAAATTATTTTACTCAAAATATTAAAAATAATTCGTTAAAAAAAATTAAGCAAGTCAATTTTCACAAACTATCTTGGTTCATCTAGTCATTCGTGTTCTTGTTGAATCCTTATATCCCTCTAACAATTACAGAGTAATTTTTTTTAGTCCTCCCAATCTACAAATCAAGCTTCTTCTCTCTCTACGTATACATAAAGTGAGAGGACAGATAAAAAGGGACACAAGTTTTGGTTGCTTGAGGAATAGATTTAAACAGAGAGCATGTTCTGGTACAGAGAGAGTAGCGAGGAGAGGGAGGGATGGTTTAGCTCAGCGTGGGTCCTGAGATTTCAAAATTTTTGAGAGACCCTAGGCGAACGTTAAATACGAGACCTTTTTATATATAAAGTTTCACACGCGCAAAAATTTATAAGAGTGCAGAATTTTCATTAAAATGAAACGATAAACACATAAAATATATTAATGTTGAAAACATGCTAAACAAAACCCGGTATTGGTACTTTATAAAGAGTAAGGTCCAATTAATATCAAAATTTTAAAATGAATTATTAAACACAATTTAGTCACAAAAATCAAAATTCAACTTTATATTAAACTAAATGTGATCGTCTTGATTTTGAGCTGCAAAATTATCAAGTAAGATTTGATTAACTTTAACTTTGAAAAAAGTTCCCTGAGCATAACTGGGATAGTCAATACTCAAATATAATCAAAGTATTTGAAAAACAGTAACCTAGCCTCATAAGTAATGGAAAGGCACAAATTTAACACAAAAAGGATTATTCATCCAAATCTCTTCTATCACCCAAAAATCTATAATTATATCTATATTTATACCTATACTAGTATAATATTTATTTTTTATATACAATTATTTAATTTCTTTTAGAAAAGAAATTTACATGCACTTTTATTTATTTCCCTTACACCTCTTGAATTGCTCACTAAATAAAATGATTTGGTTCTTTTCTCCCATTCTTTCATTTGTTACACGTCTTTTTCATTTATTTAGCAAGAGAATGGTGCAAAAGAATATCTATATATATATATACACACACACACTATAACACAAGAAAGTGGATAGATTCTGTAAATTGGGTTTCAAAATACATATGTATAGTTTTACTGGAATCACAACTTATCTTTCTTCGAACTTTTGGTGATTCACACAATTGTTACGCTGCTGGAATTGAGAACCAGATCCATATATGGGCCTACTTGGAACCAACCCAAGTTGGTAACCCTTGGACTAAGGGAAAGGCACAAAATTAGCACAAAAAGGTTTATTCAACCAGATCCACGTATGTTTATATGTTATTTTGGTCCCAATGGTGATGGGACAAGTCTTAGAAGTCTGTAGTGGCCCAAGTATAAAAAATGAAGTGAATAAGCCCCAAAACAAACCCAACAAAAAAATATAACATCCATGTTTTGAGCCCTTTAAACTTATTATAAATTGGAGGCCCTCCAATTTTAGAGGTCCTCGCCTAGGCTCAGGGTTAGGGATGGCAATTTGACCCGCCCCGTTTTTGGCGGTTTTTGGGAATCGTTTTGCTTATTTGGGCGGGGATAATTTGATGTAATAAAAACCCGCGTGGGTTTGATGCAGGGGCGGTGGGAGGTCGCCTCGCACCGCCCCGCCCTGTTTAGATATATTTCATTAGTATATATATATTTCCCACTATATATTAATTACCCTATATAACAATATTAAAATAACAAATGAATTTCATTAAAAGGAAAGTTGCAATAGTGAAGAATTGAAGATGATGATAAAAAAAAAAAACAAGTAAATTTATTTCAACAATAAATAAATTATGGTATTAAATGGGGCGGGGCGGGTACCCGCAGGAGTAAAAATGTTAAACGGTTACAGGAATGGAATAGAAACTTTCCCCATTTTTGCGATTTTGGACGGGGGCGAGATTTTTAAGCGGTTGCGGGGGCGGGGGAGGGTACACCCGCCCAAACCCGCCCCCGTTGCCATCCCTACTCAGGGCCGGCCCTGATTTAGTATAGAGAGAGAAAAAGTAACAAGGAGAGAGAGGGATACTTTAGGGGCATTATTCCCAGTTAGTAAGGAATATTGAAAAAATAGAGAGGGACAGTTAATTGTGGGTATTATTCATTGTTGGTGAGGAACACTGAATAAAGAGAGATAATTGTGAACAAAAGTTGATCTATAAAATAATTTAGAAACCATTGCCAAACACTAAAAAATAAAAAATAAAAAGAACATTTTACATGAAATTGTTTTGTTTAGAAAATATTTCTTAAGGTAAACATTTACTTCCAAACAAACGGAGTCTTAATTTATCTATTCTAATTCTAAAACTTCAATTACATGCAACGGAATATAATAGCCTAAATTTATTTTTCATTGCAAACCCATATTGAGGAGTGCAAACTAATCACAACAAATGGAAGATTTTTAAGTTCAGGAATGTTATGGTTAGTTTTCAACCAATAACATAACGCGCGTCTCCTGCAATTGTATATTGATAAAATTAAGGCGAACACGATCTACTTCAATACGGTTCAGACTAAATCAAAATCGAACCGTTATTAATGATTATAGTATGTGCACATATATTAAATTTATAGTTAAATTTAATCTGGTACATTTGTAATGGACTTAATATTAGAATTGAAATCGAGGTGATTAATTTCGATTAGTATGATTTGCCATTTCTAACTAGTTTTGTACACCCCTGGTTAACACTCCTCTCCGTATCATATTTCACGCCATACAAAGCCTATCTATTATACTTGCAAGTTTCTCACTATATTCTTGTATTTAACTATATTAACTCATTATATGATGTAATCTCTCTTTCTTAAATGAAGAGGATGAAGGTTCAAGTCTCATTAGAGACACATAAATAATTGTGTGTATTTGCTTTAACTTTAAAAAATGGTACCATCTTATACTAAACTTGATAAACTACATTTTGAGATAGGTTTGTTAAGAAAAATTTATTATGAAAATTGATGATCTGACATTCTAGTCACTTGGGTTCACAGTCTTCGTTAGCGGGCAACTGCAACATATGTTCAACACGAATTTTTTTATAAATTTCTAAATAATTTTACTTATAATTATCATCTTATATACAGAGAAAATTTATGGAATTTACAAGTGTGATAAATTTTAAAGTATGCGAAACGGAACACAAAGATAAGGGTGTTTCCTAAATATATGAAGGAATAAAAAATAAAAAATAAAAAAACAAACAAACAAAAAAGAGTTTTCTTTATGGATAACGCTAACCACATTTGGTGTGCCTATATATATATATATATATATTATATCATAAATTATGTCATCTTTAGAAAGAATATTAGTCCAGCACAAGAGCCCAAAAAAAATAGGCACACATGAAGACAAAACTTATAGTAAGAATTTTCAATGTCAAAGATGTTATGAAAATGCATGAGAAAGTTCTAGTAAGCTATGCAAGTTTAGTAATTGTTAATTTTATCATGAAAATGGGATCTCCTAAATTACCATAATTATGAGTCTCATAAATATATGGTAATAAATTTAATTACCCAATTAATCTAAAACAGGATGTTGTATGAATAGAGGTGTTGTTTGATAAAGGAATTAAGTGCTTAATTATGAATAAATTCAACACTTATTTAATTAATTAATAAAATAACCATAGTAAAAACAATAAATGACACTTAAAATAATGATTGAGCTTTGAATACTTAAAATTTAAAAATGATCAAAAGGTATAAAATAAATTAACTAGTAAAATTAGAGCATTGGAGACAAACTAGTAGAATATTATGTGATAAAAGAATGACATGTTGGTTAAAGAAATTTGATAAGGGATCATTAATAGACCAACTATGTTGTAGGGACTAGGGAGTGGAACTTGGGTCCTAAACAAGAAATAAGAGCAATGCCTTCTTTGTAGCAAAAATAAGAATAATAAATATGGATGAGTAGAGTTGCTAGAAGACATAAAGTCACTAATAAAAGTGTTGGTGAGAAGATTAGAGAAAGTAAAGTTAGTTGAGTTGGACATTTACATTGAGACCTAGTGGGGAAAAAATCTTCTCTAATTACTCTCTCATCGACATTCAATAAGCATTTAACGATAGTGATTAACGCCACATTTCCTACATAATTTTGTCATCGCCAAGCCACCAAGTTAAGAAATATATTCATTTATACTTTGTTTTACCATAAATATGAATACTACTCTATACGTTATACTTTATACGTTTAATAGTATATTATTATACAATTTAACTTTACCTTTTTATTTAAATTAAAATACATTTTTTATTTATTCTCTTTTGTATTGGGAAAGAAATCGTTCAATAGCTCTGGTTCGTAGAAAAAAATCCTCTTCGTTATTTTGTTATTCCCTCTATTTGGTAAATTCTCTGTTCCTCTTCCAGAATAAGTTTGATTTATATATATATATTTTTAAGATAGAACTCGTTAGTCACAAAGCATTACCTTATGCAATGCGTTCTGGATTTGCTCTACGTTTAGTCTGTGTTTGCTTCTTTTATACTTAATTTTGATGAGAGAAAGTTTTCATTTCATTTTGATGGAAAGCTGACTTTTTGGGGAAA